CAATGCTAAGATCGTTACTGCAAAGTACTTTTCGCATTTTTACAAGGACAGCTCGGGCTTGTTCTATTCGGCTTTTAATTTCTGCGGTTGGATCCCAGCTCTCATTGTTATTACTGCCGAGGTACACGAGTTTCTCTACTCTGTCCAGTGAAGCATCTCCGTCTTTTATACCGTCATCCTGTATATAATTTTGTTTGCTAACTATCATATATTTAGTTTTCTTAACGTTGAGTTTTAATCCATACTGATCACCATTCACAATAACACCTTCGGTTGTCTCCATTAAGGCTTCCTTAAATATTTCCTCCGAATATAAGTTAAAAAGTAACGGTGACAATATACAGCCTTGTCTCACTCCTCTTTTTATATTGATTTCATCCGACAGTTCTTGTTCAACCTTTTTTATTCTTGCCACTTGATGCCAGTATAGATTTGTAATTATTCGTAGATCTTTATCGTCTAATCCAGCTGTTTCCAATATTTCTAGTATTTTGTTAAGTCAGACTTTGTCAAAAGCCTTGTCAAAATCGATTGCACAAATGTACACATTTTGATTTATATCTCTGCATCTCTGTACTAGCACCTGTATACTAAACAAGGCTTCTCTTGTACCCAAGCCACTGCTAAACCCAAGTATTATACGAGTATTGCTAAGTCTCTCCTCTAACAGCGTGTAAATTCTGCTGTGTATTCCTCGTAGGAAGATCTTCAAAACGTGACTCATCAGACTTATTGTCCGATAATCACCGCTCAATAAACCCGTTTAGTGTCTAATTTTCTATTATAAAGTTGACTAATTCCTAATTCCCAATAAACATAGTTCTAAGAAAACCTACACAGGAAATAGCGCTGTGCTGCCACTTACTGTGTGGCGTGTTACTATTGTATTATGTCATATTTTTATAATACACTTTTTATTATAATGATTTTTGGTATTTTCAGCCAACTAATTAATGTTTTCTTTTAATTTAACCCATAATTTTTTTAATAATTTTGAGCTCACTTCACACAATAAGAAAGTGACTTAAATACACCAATGTTATTTTCATAGCGTGTGTTTTAAAGAAATTAAATCATTTGGCAACTATGTGAAGTTATATTTAGAATTTGTATCAAGGTTATCGTTTCTCGCTCGATGTAACACCATAGAGAAATAACAAATAAGAGAGTGCTTGGTTGCATACATAAAACTGGCACAGTGTGACGTCACTCGATGCTAGCCACTTGATGAACTACTTACTCAACTAAACATTCGGTGACTAAACGACCAGGAAATGGAACGCGGGATATTTAAAATTATTATATTTCAGTAGAGAATCTCAGTTTACAGATAATTTTACAGGAAAGACTTTAAACTGAATTTCCTCATACTCTAACCTAAAATATATGTGAAAAATTATGTGTAACGATCTGAATATATGTTCAGAATCAAAATATGTAAATTTTATTTGTTGTTTTTAGGTTAGAGTATGCAAAAGTTCAGTTTAAAGTCTCTTCTGTAAAATTATCTGTAAAATGAGATAGAAGGATTTCTCGATGCTAAGCCATCGATATTTTCCTCATAAATTTTCAGAAAAATAGGGGACATGAACACTAGAAAAAAAAACTACACATGTTTTATTTTTATTAATCCTCACAGGGACCCCCCACTTACCGCATGCATGTATGGAGTGCTGATAAAACAAAATAGAAAAACATATACAGAACAATTGTTTTGAAATATAAAGTTTTGAGATATAAAACACAGATCAACACAAAATGCATGCATGTCCCCGCTCTTCTTTATTTATCTAATATTTAACAAAATGCAGATATTACAAATTTGATTAGTAGGTAGCCTAAAAATATTCAAAGAAAAATATTACACAATACACAGAGAACTTTACTAAAGCTAAAATAAATACCCTTAAAATAACAACTCTTACAATAAATAAGTAAAATACTTTTAGGTGATAAACAAATCGAACAAACCTGCAATTTAAATATATGTTCATAAGAGAAATATTTGCTATAAAACTAAACACAGAAGAACCTTTAGTAAAGAAAGAATTTTGTATATACAAATAAACATACAATATGATTATGTATAACCTAAAACTCTGTGCTAAAAAGTCAATGTCAACAATGTAAATTTTCATAGTACAATCAAAATACTTTATTGTACCATGGTAAATTTTAGTTTCATAAACAGCAGCGCCCCGATGTGCTACTTACCTGCGCAGAAACAAATGTGAACAATTTTCCCTATCTTTCAGGGTTGCCAGATTGGGGTAGTTTCCCCCAAATTTGGGGTATTTTTTCTTGCTCGGGGGATTTTTTGGGGGTATACTCTGAGTGGGGTATTTTTTGGAGGAAAATTTTTTACATGGGGGTTTTTTGGGGCATAATTTTAAGAGCACATTCCATTGCCTCGTCGATTTTGAATTTCAAGTTAAACTGTGATTCACAAAAATCTTTGAATATAAATTCATTTACAGTCGATTCTGCCATCTAGTACAAACTATTAAACTTATTTGGTACATTACATTACAGTTTTCTTCAACAGCAGCACAACAACATTTGATTTTCTTGCGCTTTTAGCGTACCATTTTGTTTTTGTGTACCATTTTCTGTGATAGAACACAGAAAATGGTATCTCCTTCCTGTCCTATTGTTTAACTTTATTTACTTTTCTATTTCTAGAAATTCTAGAATTAATTTTGAGGGTTATATTTCTGTGATACCTCGTGTAAGTTTGAAGGTTATATATCTGGTGTGTTCAATACGCATTATTTATTTAAATTAGTGTTTGTACGCGTGTTGATTTAAAAATATGTCTAAAGGAAAAAAGGAGTATACCCGAAAATACCATTGCTTGGGAATCGGATACTGAACTTAAAGGTAATCTGTTTAATACAATTTTTATGGTTTGGGTTATTAATAATTAATTATTCTATATAGGATGGATTGGTCCTGTACCAGAAGATGAGACACAAGCATTTTGCAAGAAATGTAAATGCACTTTAGCTGCACATAAAAAAGATTTATTACTCCATGGTAAAAGTAAAAAACATCAAGCGGATGAGAAACTATCTTTGGCCGGCCCCAGTAAAAAAATTACTTAGTTTATGAAAAAAGGTTTGACCTCCAGCAAAAAAATAGCAGAATTGAAAATTGCTGCATTTATATGCGTGCACTACTCAGTTTCAACAATTGACCATCTAGGATCACTATTAAAAAATTTAGATACATCCTCAGAAATTTTAAATGAAATAAAATTACATAAAACAAAATGTACATCTTTAATATTGAATGTATTGGCTCCCTGCATACTTAACGAATTACTTTTGGATATTGCAGGTAGTAAATACTCATTGATTATAGATGAGAGTACTGCGGTTGATTCAACAAAAATGCTATGTGTCATGATAAAATATTTTAGTAAAAAGCAAACTAAGATCGTTACAACATTCTATAAACTTATCGAAATTGAAAAGGGTGATGCCATAACTATCTCAGCTGCAGTGACAAAGCAACTAGACCTAGATGGTTTAAAATCAGAAAATCTGATAGGAATCGGTGTTGATGGTGCAAATGTTATGGTTGGAGCACACAATTCTGTAGCTTCTTTGTTAAGAAGCTACAGAATTGTAGCTTTTAACAAACAGAAGCTATTCTGTTTGTTAAAGGTTAAGAATAATGAACTTGTTGTTATTAAGTGTGTCTGCCATTCTCTGCATTTAGCAGCAGAGCGTGCATTTAAACTTCTACCTCGTCATTTGGACTTTATAATTAAGGAATGTCACAATTGGTTCTCTTGTAGTACAAAAAGGCAAATAGCATACAGACAAGTATTTGAAACACTAACAGATAAACAACCACTTAATCTAACAGAATATAACCTCAAAATATGAACTTTGACAGTAAATATCTTAATACATACTTTGATACTCTTACTTGCTCTTACCTCACAAATTTACGAACACGAAACCCAATCGCACAGAATGGATATTCAGAAGCGAACGTCCTTATTTATTCTTTAAAATATTTAAAAAATTAACATTTCCAACTTCTTATGAGAGAAATACAGCAGATTTGTTTTGTTTGGAAATGTTTTCAAAATTCCCACCCATTATGACGTCAGACGTTAGGTTCCATGTCAATTGTCATTTGTTTCGATTCGAGCTTCTGTCATATATTATATAATCTGTGTATAATATTAATATACCCGGATTAAATGACAGAAGCTCGAAACAAATGAGAATAGATGAAAAGTTCTATAAAAAAAGTTATTCTATGCATAAAACATATATAACCAACTTGCAAAATGTAATAATAAATAAATACATACATTTAAAATTTTGGGGGATTTTTTTTAAAAAAGGTCATTTTTGGGGGATTTTGAAGTTCAGGTTGGGGGAATTATATAAATCGGTCTGGCAACCCTGCTATCTTTTGATCACTCTCTTATTGTTATTTCTCTATGGTAACACTGGCGCTATGGGATAAGGAGCAATTTGTGTCTCTGCTCTGCTGGCGCTCTGGCGCAAAACAATACTGATACAGTCAGCTGTGTCAGTGTCAAGACTCAAAAATTTACGGTGTTACCCATGACTAACATAGGCGCTAGTTAAATCCTTATTTTCGTACCGATCCAAGCGCTTTGCTTACGTATTAATCTACGCTATCAGTAGCGCAGCGGTAACTATTCGGTGCCTTTAAATATATAAAAAGTATAATCTCATCACTGTTCCCCTCTTCGGATACAATCGGCACACGCCACATGCGCGAGGTTGAAGCTACGACTCTGTAATGCTTTGTTGTACTATTTATTGTTGTTTGTTTTATTTTAGCAAGACGAAGATGCACTCATCCAATTAGAAGATAATAGTACACACGTCGTATGTAACGCCGACGAAAATCTTAGGACTAAGTTACGTAACATAGTAATGCAATGTTTAAAAAAATTTTAAATATTTATTTACATTTGTATTTTTTTAATAAAATAAAAAACTCCAGTCTCCTAAAGTAGATATTTTATTTAGATCGTAAAAATAAATGCACTAATGGCTTTCTCCCTTCTTTCCTGCTACTCTCTTGAAATCGCCCATGTTAGTTGTACTTATCGGTGATCCGATTATAGCTAAATGATCGATTTGAGTTACTTCATCTCCTCCAAGATTATCTTTTATAAAGAATTGAATGTTTTGGACGTTTTGAAACTTCACGTATCTCAAGTTTACTGGATTCCCTTCAACATCTTGAGGAGTTAACCTAAAATAAATACATTAATGCTTATTTTTGTAAATTTGAGGTAATTAAACTTAATCACAACATATTTTATCAACAGAACAAGATCATCTGTATTGTTTGTGAAGTTTTCTAAGTTGATAAAGTTATTTTGTAAATGTTTGTGTTGTCAATGTCTCTTTTTCTCAATATATCATGAGAAAGTTTCTAAAGTGGCTGAATATGATAGATTGAAAAGGCACCAAGAGACCACATCTAACAATAATACATTTTTAATTACATATAGTATTTTTATATATCTTTTAACAATAAAACTACAATATGCCTTCTAAATTCATTACCAACATATTACAAATGTATTATGGTTAATGTGGGATATCTCAATAAAAAAAAATCGAAATATACTTACTGTATGTCCTGGACACTAGTATAACCATCAGCTAAATCAAAATCTAATGTTCTTGGTTGATTAATAAAAATTCTTATGTTTTTGGGTCCTTTATCTGCTGGTGCTTTAATTTTCAAACTATGTATTTTGACGGATTGATTGAATGCAATGGATATTATCAGCTGTAAATGGTATATATTCGTTAGAGAAATACTACATAATCAATGTTACACAATTAAAACCATTTAATTACCTGTTCATCACAATCAGATTGCAAAAAGCCGCCTCCAGAGGTTAGACAATGGGTAAAAGGATGTTCATCACTTTCATTCAAACATTCACATTCAGCTTTGGTAATAAATGGTGACAAGTCCATCTGAAAATAAAAGATTGTTTAAAATCCTCATTAGAATGATTATAAATAATGTAAAAAACTTTTGAGTGTTGTTCTTCTCTACCAGTAAGTGGTATTTATCTTTAGATTTTGTTTCTCTAGAGCTTCTTCTGCTTTTATGTTTAAGCAGACTTTTAAATTTTCATATTCTTCCGTCATCAATCTGTGTTTTTTATGTTCTTGTGAACAAAAAAGTACTTTTCAAATCTTAAATAGTATTGTTGACAAATATTTGTGTTTATTTGTTATCTCTCAATGTATTCCTAAATGATGAAATCATTTACCTTGGACGGCAATTAAATTGTATCGCAGAAAGTCAAGGCGAAATTAGATCTAGGATAGAGCAGGCTAGAGCTGCTTGTAGAAGGATGTGCAAGGTGTTATGTAACAGAGACCTAAAATTGGCATTGAGGATCCGCCTACTTCGCTACTACATGTTCTCGGTCTTATTGTATGGTTTCGAGTCCTGGACTGTAAATAAAATCGATCTAAATCGCCTTGAGGCTTTCGAAATGTGGTGCTATAGAATAATTTTAAAAGTTTTCAGGGTGGAGAAGATTCCAAACTCCACAATACTAGAATGTCTCAACAAGACTACTGAGATCATAAAAAGCATCAAGCAGAGAAAGCTGGAGTATTTCGGACATGTAATGAGAGGTTCCAAATATAGGTTGTTACAAAATATCATGCAAGGAAAAACAGCAGGCAAATGCAGTCCAGGACGAAACCTCATGGTGGAAGAACTTGTGAGATTGGTATGGTGTTGATACAAACATGCTATTTAGGTTGGCAGTGAATAAAATTAACATAGCTATGATGGTAACCAATGTTCTGAAAGGAAATGGTACATGAAGAAGAAGAATGTATTCCTACTACTCTACTCTGTATTTGTTTTTCTACTCCAGCTATCTTCTCTAGGTATTTGTTTATTTTCTTCAAAGCGCTTCTTTCTCTTGGACAAAGTAGTAAATTACAACATATATACCCAAAATTGTTATTTGCACTCATCTTAATTGAATCAAGACCACCTTGATAAAACATTCACAATAGGTTTTCAAGATTTGCTATATATTTTGTATTTTTTTGTGTAAATATTGATATTTTTGCTCTTACCCATTGATCTTTGCCTATTCCTGGAAAGAAATGGAATATAACCAGGTATCTTTTCAATTCCTTTAACATGTTTCTTTCTATTTGACAGAATGGAGAAAGAAATGAAGAATTAAAATATCTTCCTGTCTAAATTGTGATTAATGAATCCTTGTATAATTTTTTGTTGTTTACTTCGCATTCCCTGTATATTCCATATTCCGTAATGTATTATCAATTTTGCTAGCATCTTTTTATATATTTCTGTCTCTGAAGCTAGACATACAATCAGTCTGCATAAAAAGGCATCTAGAGACACCTGTGATGCACAAAAATTTTGAAAATTGTCAAATTTGCACACAAATTGAGGGGGGTAATTAAATAGCAGACAAATCTATTATGAAGAAGCTTATGATAATAAAAAAGAGAAAAGTTAATCCATTATAGACCAGCGCCCTAATTATAGATCACTAAATTTTTTTATTTTTTTCAACCCTTTGTTTAATATTTTAGGATGTAGTAAACTAAATTATAATTATTGATGTATTATATTTCCAATATCCTTTCAATAAAAAAAATGTTACAGTAGACGGTAATGTACACTTCCTCTAATTTATATAACAATGCACGTCATCGGCGTCATAGCCTGTGACGTCACATGATACCAACACCAAATATTTAGGGTGTAGGTGTGTTCTTTTTTAGAATCACTTTACCGAGTACACTGGCATTACAGCCACTAGACATATTTTATTATATAAGCGTAGAAATAATATTTAAAAATTTCTATTAATGTTAACTTAAAGAAATACACAATAATATGTTTCATTTAATTTGTAGAACTGCATTATAAAGCGTTTTTATCAAGAACATTTCTTCGGAACACACTGTAACTGTAATCAAACAAAGCTAAAATTTTGGCATAAATTGGTAACACTTATTTGACAGTTGCGGTGTTGACACATTTGTAATTCATTATTTTGAATTTTAAAGTGAATATCTCTTGTTTTATATTTTTAACTATTTAATAAAATCTGTTGTTTTTAGAACAAAATTAGTGTGTTTTATTTCAAAAATGTCATGTAAGAAATAGTCGTTGTAAAGAGATGGTAATACTTTTGCAATAATTATGTAATCTATTTGATTTAAAATGGAGTCAGGATTTTTTTATACTTTGGCAACTATGTCAACTTCGATCTCTGACGTAGATAATGACATAAGTCATTATCTAAATTAGATGAAGTATATACTAGTACGAAGATTCTAGCTCCTTATATCTATCTAGACTACTGAACATTTAATAAATTTAAATGAAAAATACTTACATGTCCTGCCACACTTTCTCCTTCTTCTGAATCATCTGATCCATAGTATTGTTGAATCTTATTTTCAAGACCTGTAGGGTCAGCTCCTTGTAAACGATCAACTTTAGTCTACAAAATAATTTGACTAATAAAAATAAAACGCTAAAGATAACTTCAGACTATTCTTTCAAGTATATTGACAACCAGAGAAACATCAAACTGGTATACTTTTGAATTATAAGTGTCATCATTTATGGTTATATTGATAACTGTAGATGATATTGATAATGAGAATAAATGGGTAGGAAAAAGTTCTCATAGTTATGCAACTTAACAAAACAGGTTAGGATTGGATTTGAAAAATTAAGCATAACAGCTGACAACAAGGGACAAGTTTCTATTGTAACCTCTAACCTCCATAGGCAAGATAAATTCTTAGATTTATAGCAACATATATGATTAAGTAATAAACAAATCAAGATAAGACAATCAATTTTTAATAATAATAGAAATATATCCATCTTAAATTAAACAAAATTTGTGCAATACTTATGGTGATTTAATCTTTTTTTGTTATTTTTAACAACTATTGCTAGTACTGAATATTTTATTGCTTATAATATGGAATCCATAATAAAACAAAAGTGACAGATGTCTCAACCCAAGTAGCAAAGCTTAAATGGAAATTCGCCAGACACACCTAAGGCAGAAAGATGAAAGATGGACTAAGACAATTATACATTGGAGACCATTAATTAATATTTATAACTGGGAATAAGCCACATTAAAGATAAAAATACATTTATTGACGTTTCAATTTCCAATTCGGAAATCGTTCTCAAAATACAAATAGTAAATTAAACAAATTTTGTTTTTTGTTACATAGTGAAAAAAATTTTTCTGATAATTTAATTTTATCTGACTCATTTATATTGACAATTCAGACATACATTATGCATTTTAAAGTAGACGACTTTAAAATGATATTGCCAATATTGTTGAGTTGCGCTCCTGGGACGACTTTACTTATAAGATAGTTCATTCGATTACATGAAATCAACTTTAACTTGAGAATATCCGTCAGAAAAAATCATAGCATGTAATTCGTCTTTAAAAAGACAAACACATGACATGATGACAGTAAAATTCTCCTGTTAGTGATTCCATAGTAAATTATGAGGGAAAAACCAGGAAAAAAAACCTCATAATACTATCCCGACATTGTAAGTATTTGTTCGTGAATTTAGTTTACCTTCAACAAACATCAAAATTCTGATTTTATGTTACGTTATTTAAAAAACATAAATGATGTATCCTCTATATGTTACTGACTTACTAATACTGGTATTTTCTTATTAATAACTTCCTCTTTCAATATTGGTAACCAGATCCTACTACATTCTGCCGAGGAATTGGCGACACAATTGGCCTCATTTAGCATAATTAGAGCCGCTTCTTTGATTTTTCTTTTTTTACCATCCGTTTCTTTTAGGACTATATTTGAATTATTCCATTGAACTCTATGTTCATTATCCCATGCGTGTTTACATATTTGAGATCTATCAAATTCTCTATTTTTAATATAAGATTGATGTTCACTTATTCTAACATTTAATGGCCTTGATGATTCACCTAAATAAAACTGATCGCATTCACAAGGTATTTTATAAATGCAATTCTTTGTCCTTTCTTGTTCATTGTTAGGTTTGGTTTTGGACAAAATAGATCTCAACGTGTTTGTTGTTTTGAATGTTGTTGAAATGTTGAATTTATTTCCTATCCTTTTAAGTTTTTCTGATAATCCTTTTATGTACGGTATTGTTATTTTCCTCATACTATTCCTTGTGTATGCTGTAGGATCTCGTTCTAAGTTGTTCTGTTCTATTCGATCGATTGTTGAAAATTCCTTATTTATAAACGATAAAGGATAATCATTTTTTAATAAAACAGATGTTAACAAATGTTTCTCCTCCAAGAACGAATTTTCGTTAGAACAAGTAATTTTGGCTCTATCGTATAAGGATTTAATTATTCCCTTTTTTACATTAATATTGTGATTTGATTTGAAATTTAAATATCTATTGGTGTGTGTTGGTTTTCTATACACCTGAGTCTCATATCCAGTATCGTTCTTAGAGATCAAAACATCCAGGAAAGGTAGCGTGTTATTATATTCCTTTTCCATGGTAAATGTTATTGTCTCTTCTTTATCGTTTATATCGTTTAAGAATGTGTCCAACAACTCTGATCCATGAGGCCATATTGAGAATACATCATCTACATACCTCCACCATACTGTGGGTTTGAAATTTTGTTTAGAAATGATATTTGTTTCAAAATCTTCCATAAATATATCGGCTAAGAATGGAGATAAACTAGAGCCCATTGCTAGACCAAAATTTTGTTTATAGAATTCATTATTTAGTTGAAAATATGTATTATCAGTACATAATGTTAATAACTCCATTATAGCCGATATGTTTAGTCTTGTTCTAGTTGCCAATGAATCATCACTCTCTAATTTTGTCTTGACTATACTTAAAGTCTTATTTAATGGCACATTCGTAAATAAACTATTTATGTCAAAACTTACCAAAGTATTATTTGAATTAAATTCAATATTTGATAATTTATTTAAAAAATGTTGTGTATTTTTTATGAATGTGTCATTTTGATTTGTATAAGGTTTTAAAATATTTAATAAAAATTTTGATAGTTCACTACAAGGAGAATTTATGGTACTACAAATGGGTCTAAGTGGTATATTCGTTTTATGAATTTTCGGTACTCCATAAAAATGAGGAGTCTTACTGTAATGAGGTGTAATTAATCCTCTCTGATAACTTGTTAAAACATCTTTAAACTTGAATAAAGTTCTATATATTTTGTTTTCCAAAGGCTTTGTTGGATCTTTTGTTAATTTTGTATAAGGTCCGTTTATTAATAGATCTTTAATTTTATTTTCGTATTGAATTTTATCCATTATTACAGTTGCATTCCCCTTGTCTGCTGGTAGGATAATTATGGAGTCGTCATTTTTTAAAGTTCTTATAGCCTTTAGTTCCTCTTTGCTTATGTTTTGTTCAATTTTAGTAGATTTCTCCAATTCAAGTTTACATAACACTCTGTATTCTTCCTTTTCATGGGTTGGTAAGCATTGAGATATTTTCTCCACTGAGCTTATTATGTCTAATTTTGGAACGGATGGCTGAGTAATAGCAAAGTTTAGACCCTTTGACAGTATTAAATTCTCCGTAGCATTTAAATGTCTATTTGATAGATTGACAACTGTCGCTAATATGTCATCATTTCTATTGAGGTTATCTAAAGTGTGTATACTGTTTTGTTCTAAAAGAATATTAAATTTATTTAAATGTATATTTCTTTGTTTTCTATATGAATTTTCATATACTATATGTAAACTAAAAATAATTTGATCAAAATCAGAATTTGATATCACATTGAAAAGCAAATCTTCAATACTTACAATATCTTGTTCAACAAAAAATAAAATAGCTTCAGAACAATATTGGAGACCATGGAATCACAAACGAAAAAAGGAAAGGCCACAAATGCGATGGTCAGATGAACTAAAGAAACACGCCAGGTTAAAATGGATGCAAATTGCCCAAGATAGAGAGGCATGGAAGAAGGAGGAGGAGGCCTATATCCAAGGATGGATGTTTAGGGCTCTATAGATAGATAGAATATGGAATACATTCCTAACAGCAAAACTTCTGGTTTAAGTATACTTAATATAGTACACATTTCTAATTTACTAAAATTTGCCAATTAACTGTAAGGCCAATATACCACAATCAATGTTTAAAGTAAAAAGATAATAGTGTTGATATCTTACCTAACATGTAATAACAATAAAGCTTTAAGTAATAGAAAGTAGTTTAATTTAGTTGTAATTAAAAATATTTTGATACATAGATTATTTTGGTGAAATCATATTACCTTATTACGATAAAAAATAAAGGTTGGCATAGCTGAAACACCTTGAGCAGCTGCAGTTTCCTGGCACTGATCAACATCTACTTTTAGAAACACAGCTTTGGGATATTTTGCAGCTAGTTGTTGGAAAATTGGAGCTATCCTCTGACATGGTCCACACCTGAAACATTATTCTTTAAAAATATTGGGAAAGTAAGAAAATAAAACACAATTTTTTTAATGTACATTTGTTGGTTTACACCAAAAAAATTAAAAACTGCAATATGTCCATTGTATAACACATGCACAAATGTGTAGACATAATATGTCCATATATAGTATAACAGCTTGGTCCTCAGAATTCATCCTATTATGACTTAGTTTTGTTTTTTTGTTATGTTGTTTGTTTTTTTTTTCTTTACTCCAATTCAGATATGCTTTTTTGCAAATCATTTTTGATATATTTCTTTAATGAATAACAACACTACAATTCAGCCTATTGGTAATAATTTCTTTTAGTTTTGAAGGAGTGAATAAATATTCATGAAAACGTTAGGCCCTACAATTGATACACATTGAAACTAACTTTATTAGGTATACTTGAATCTAAAACTACTAAAAGTTAAATAGGCAATAATTAATTAAATCTTCTCTAATTTTATAAGTAAATCTAAAATTCCTACTTAGCGTGAAAAAGGTACTACAATAGTATGTACTACTTAAGACTGACTATAATGGATTTAGATTAGTCTGGTCTCACAGAGAGAAACTGATTTAATTTAGTAGTGATTTCAATGTTTTAACATACCAGGTTGCAGTAAAATCTACGACTACAAGTCTAGTGGCAGCATTTGTTAATTCAGTTTGAAAATGTGTTTCATCGGTTATTGCTCTAATGGAACCCATATTTTGATTTTTAATCAAGAGTAATAAATAGTTTTGATTAATTCAACTAAAATGCACATTCACTGCTTTCCTTCAAACCTGACGTCTAACTGTCAAGAGTACATGACATAGTCTTCTAGTGAGGTAAGTCCTATAGAAAAATTTAGGAGAGAGTTTCTAGCGCCACATGCGGACGGGCCGAAACTAATTTCATTTAGCGGCAAATTTAAAATGTAGGTTTTGAATTTTAGACGACAAATTCAAAAAATATGTATGTATTCTGTTTTAATCTCCTATTTCTACAATTTGGGATACAATGTTCAGAGGATAATATACTATGGCAATGTTTTTGTTCTTATAACGTCATTTGCAAAGGCGTGGATTGCAATGTTGCCACTAATACATTTTTTTCGGTGGATACTCAAAATTTGTTAGAAATAAGTTACTGTAAATTTCAGTTATGATTTTAGTAGAATTTGCTACAATTTTTGTTGTCTTTTTTGGGAAAACATTGTATAGTATAATCATTATTTTGGTTTGAGATCTATCAAATTCTCTATTTTTAATATAAGATTGATGTTCACTCATTCTAACATTTGAACTAAAAACCTTGAAGCTCTTTAACTCAAAAACAATTGATTTTTAAGTCTTATGGCACTGAGAACTTTTGATCGGCATGGCGTATTTATGTTATGCTACAACCAGACAATTCACAAAGTACCCTTTGAGTCAATATTTAACTTTATAAAACACCACTTTTAATGTTTAATACTTCTTCTTCTCTTCTTTGTCAACCATTTTCCATCCACTCCTGAATATAGGTCTCTCCCAATTGCTTCAATCTTTCTATATCTTGCGAAAATCTAATCCACTGTTTGCCTGCCACTGCTCTTACCTCATCTACCCATCTTTTTTGAGGTCTTCCCATGCTTCTTGTTGTCGTTCTTGGTCTCCATTCTAGAATTCTCCGTGTCCACCTGTTTTCATTATATCGGGCTACGTGACCTGCCCAGCGCCATTTCATTTTTGTAATTTCTTCCACAATATCCCTAATCTTCGTTCTACGTCTTATCTCGGTGTTTCTAATCTTGTCTCTTAGTGGTAGGTACAAACTGGTAGTATGCATGTGTTATATACCTTTTTCTTTAAGTTTATAGGAATGGGGGTGTTTTTCAAGATATGTGCTAGTTTGCCGAAAGCGCCCCAAGCCAAGTGCGGCGCGAAATGATGTGGGCGCAAAATGGTGTGGACGCAAAGTTATGTGGACGCAAAATTGTGTGAGCGCAAAATTATGTAGGCGCAAAATGGTGTGGACGCAAAGTTGTGTAGACGCAAAATTGTGTGAGCGCAAAATTATGTGGGCGCAAAATGGTGTGGGCCAAAAATGGTGTGGGCCCAAAATGGTGTGGGCGCAAAATGGTGTGGGCGAAAACAGGTGTGAGCGCAAAATGGTGTGGGCGAAAAATGGTGTGGGCGCAAAATGGTGTGGGCGAAAAATGGTGTGGGCGAAAAACTGTGTGGGCGCAAAATGGTGTGGGCGCAAAATGGTGTGGGCGAAAAACTATGTGGGCGCAAAATGGTGTGGGCGCAAAATGGTGTGGGCGAAAACAGGTGTGGGCGCAAAATGGTGTGGGCGAAATTTGGTGTGGGCGAAAAATGGTGTGGGCGAAAAATGGTGTGGGCGCAAAATGGTGTGGGCGAAAAATGGTGTGGGCGAAATATGGTGTGGGCGCAAAATGGTGTGGGCGAACAATAGTGTGGGCGCAAAATGGTGTGGGCGAAAACAGGTGTGGGCGCAAACTGGTGTGGGCGAAAATTGGTGTGGGCGCAAAATGGTGTGGGCGCAAAATGGTGTGGGCGAACAATAGTGTGGGCGCAAAATGGTGTGGGCGAAAATTGGTGTGGGCGCAAAATGGTGTGGGCGAAAACAGGTGTGGGCGCAAAATGGTGTGGGCGAAAAATGGTGTGGGCGAAAAATGGTGTGGGCGCAAAATGGTGTGGGCGCAAAATGGTGTGGGCGCAAAATGGTGTGGGCGAAAAATGGTGTGGGCGCAAAATGGTGTGGGCGCAAAATGGTGTGGGCGCAAAATGTTGTGGGCGCAAAATGGTGTGGGCGAAAAATGGTGTGGGCGAAAAACTGTGTGGGCGCAAAATGGTGTGGGCGCAAAATGGTGTGGGCGAAAACAGGTGTGGGCGAAAAACTGTGTGGGCGCAAAATGGTGTGGGCGAAAAACTATGTGGGCGCAAAATGGTGTGGGCGCAAAATGGTGTGGGCGAACAATAGTGGGGGCGCAAAATGGTGTGGGCGAAAAATGGAGAATTTGATAGATCTCAAATATGTAAACACGCATGGGATAATGAACATATGGGTCAATGGAATAATTCAAATGTAGTCCTAAAAGAAACGGATGGTAAAAAAAATCAAAGAAGCGGCTTTCATTATGCTAAATGAGGCCAATTGTGTCGCAAATTCCTCGGTAGAATGTAGTAGGATCTGGTTACCAATATTGAAAGAGGAAGTTATTAAAAAGAAAATACCAGTATTAGTAAGTCAGTAACATATAGAGGATACATCATGTATGTTTTTTAAATAACGAAACATATAAAATCAGAATTTTGGTGTTTATTGAAGGTAAACTAAATGCACGAACAAATACTTACCATGTCGGGATAGTATTATGAGGTTTTTTCCCTGGTTTTTTCCTCATAATTTACTATGGAATTACTAACAGGAGAATTTTACTGTCATCATGTCATGTGTTTGTCTTTTTAAAGACGAATTACATGTTATAATTTAGTTAAGTTAAAGTTGATTTCATGTAATCGAATGAACTATCTTATAAGTAAAGTCGTCCCAGGAGCGCAACTCAACAATATTGGCAATATCATTTTAAAATCATCTACTTTAAAATGCATAATGAATGTCTGAATTGTCAATATAAAAGAGTCAGATAAAATTAAATTATTAGAAGAATTTTTCACTATGTAACAAAAAACAAAATTTGTTTAATTTACTGTTTGTATTTTGAGAACGATTTCCGAAGTGGAAATTGAAACGTCAATAAACGTATTTTTATCTTTAATTGTGGCTTATTCCCAGTTAAATAGTAATTCATTATTTTGGTTAATACGCAAAACTAATGAAACCATGGCAACAGCACTTACATCAACGTCATGATACAGACTTCCAAGATAAACCCACTTCGCAATCGAATTTTGTACATCGACGCGCATGACGTCAATTGGTGATAAAAGTCACTTTTATCACCAACCTTTTATCATCACAGTCGGTAAAACATATATGGAAAGAAAGGGGTTTTTATTTAAATATTTAAAATATTAACGGATGTTAGGTAAAATATCTGCAATTAAATCTTAAAAATATGTTATATATATACGATTAGCCTAGCTCTGTTACCAATCTCTGTTAGCCTAGCAATGTAAACTAAAATTATATAAAAAAGTAAGAACTAAACATCCTTTTGCAAATGGAAATTTATATACAATGGATTGATTTATTAAAATAAAAATTTAATACAACTGATAAAATAAAATACACTGTAATAATTTACAAGTTTATTTAACAATTTATTTTACAATTTTTAATATTTTCTTCTTCTTAACTTTGGATGTTTCTTTAATATATCTATTCAATTTTCTAATTTTAAAATATAATTTACACCTTTACTAACATTACATCTGAACACAGCTAAATCCATTAGCGATTTTAAATAATTCTTGGTTAATTTGTTTGACCCTTTGTTAAAAATATGGTCCAGTTTATTACATTTAATTAGAAAATCTGGATATGGTTTAAGTAAACCTCCTTCGGAAAGATGGTTTACCCAGTAAACCGATGTCAACGTACAAGATAAACGATAAAACAAAACTAAATCTCAAGGTTAGTAGATATTTAAGTAGATACTTAAATATCTACTAACCTTGACTAAATCTGACAAAACCCCCTACAACACAGAACATTTCTGGTGACATTTGTCGCCAAGTGACGTCACACGACTGATCGCGTGCGCGTGAGTTTATCTGTAGTTTATAGTATCATGCATCAACGTCATACGCCTCTTGCTATGTCATAAAAATCATAGAACCTAATGCAATAACGTGACAAGTAGCACCGTCGCCATTATGAACGGCTGGACCCATGCAATTCACTCTCCCCACTTGTCTTATCTTAGTTACACTACTATTTGTGATATATACTGTGGAACTGTCACTGTCATTTGTCAGTCATTGACCAAGGTTCGTAGTATTACTACGGTTGCCTCTTCCGACTGGGGAGGGAATGCTTCAGTTACGTCACTAAAGTATACAAGAATACAAAACCCATCTATTATCACAGTTTGTTCGTAATAATTATTTTTCAGTTTATTATTTGCTTTATTATTGATCGTTTCTTAAATATCTTAGTTTACTTTATATTTTTGTATTTGAAAATTTGGTGTTTTATGTAAAAACTTATTTTTAATAATTATCGAAAAAAGTTATTTATTGTAGTTGAACATTGTACCTATTGTAGAGTACCTTACATAAGAATATCTCTTTATAAGGTAGGTTAAAACTTTAAAATTTCATTGTCTATTAACGTAATAATAATGTTGATGAAATTTTAGAATGCATCAGGCGTAAGTTGTAGTGTGGCTACTTTAAAATAATTTTTATAAAAACAAGAAGTCTGCCGATTCTGATCAACAAATAGCATTTTTCACGTTTCCCAAAAATACAAAATTAGAAAAAATGGTTAGGCGCTGTTGCAGAAAAGATAAAATAAATATAAAAACTCCTAGAGTATGTAGTAATCATTTCAAGGATGATTTTGCGGATGAGATATATGCTCGAATAATAGGAACTAGGCCTAAGTTGAAATTAAAAGATTGAGGTAAGTGTTGTTGACTTTTTTTGTTTATTATGAGATTGAAGTCCTAGATTTACATAAATCTCCAGAACTATCTTTACTTTCTATACATCAAAGATATGAAAACGCCGATTAACAATGTTACGATTCAAATTACTCTACTCTCATGACGTAATTTCGGGCTTAATGTTCATTGGTTAGTCGGAAGAGGCAACCGTAGTCGTAACGTCGTCATGTCATCACAGCATAAACACAAAATAATGTCGTCATGCAGTCATTCCTGCGCTAACGAGATGCGCGTACTTAATTTTGCATGGAGAGTGGGAATTCTGATTGTTTATTATTCTGTGACCTATGCCTAGGTCTGACGTCACAATGGGCGGGGATTTTAAAAACCTTTGCAAACAAACATTCTAATTTGTATTTGTCTTATAAGAAGATACAAATATTAGTTTTTGGGTGGTGTATTCTGTGATAAGGCCTACACCTAAAAAAGCAAAAATACCTATAATAAACTTTATGTACATGTCCGTGTCCGTGGTCTGACATATGCTGACTGACTGACATACATCAACATCAGTTCATCAGTAAAATGTATTTGAAAATAGAGGTTATACTGTACTGTAGGGTAGAATGCACAGTTTTTTAAATTTTTGTAGATTTAAATATCTGGAAAATAACTTAAGGAATGCTAGTTCATTTTTATGTTTAAAGAAGACAAGCAAATATAAGACTGTTAGACATTTTTCTGTTGAAAGTAATTGAACTGTAGTGAAATTTGAGTCAAATGAAAGTGTAACAGTTTTGTTTTAGATAAGCTAGTAAAAGATGAGAAATCTGAAAAATTTATACCGTTCCTGCAGAGGATTAACCTGAGGCGATCAGAAGCGAGAAGAAGTATAGTTGTTCAAGTACAATCTTCACAATCTTTTAAAGAATTATATGCCTATTGCAATTCTATAGGAAAAATAAAATATATGTTCCATTATTCTGTAGGCATTGAGCCATTGGTAACTGTTCTACACTTCTTACTTAAACTTAAAACAATTTTTTAATTCTTATCTGTATATTTTAGCACTTCATAATTGTAGAATTTGAAACTGATACTGATATCACAAATATTAAGAAGTCCAGCATATTTGTTGAAGGAAGCTTAGGACTACCTACACAATCACATTTTGTGTGGTTTAGGGCCGCACATAAAAAATTACCAAAATTAAAACAAATAAAATCTACTTGTCTGCAAATAGAAAATGGTACTGCAATTAAAGAGGAAGAAGTGATCAATCAAATGTTAAGCAAATCAGAAAATGTAAATATATTTTAAATCTTGAATGTGTTGCCTGTGTGAGTTCATTTCAAATAGGTAAAAAGAAATTTTTTATTTCTTTTTACCTATATTTTAAATTATTCCTATAGTATGCCATTAATTTAGTTTTAGATTTCAGATCAGATAAAAACTCTCCATGAAATTACTAAATTAAATGATGTTGGTACCCGTTTAAGGTTTTTAACTGCTCTTCAAATTGAAGATGCAGTCAACGGAATGTTTCCTCATGCAGTTGCTTATCCTTTTGGATCCAGTGTGAATGGATATGGCAAAATGGGATGTGATTTGGATCTATTTTTAAAGTTAGCTGCTGACAAGGTAAAAATATTGATATATTTATATATAAGTATACATAATTTTTTGAATCAATTCAATGATTTAATTCAAATATGTAATAAGGCAACCCTGCAGCTGTTTCGTATGTATAAGCTGGAAATATGATTGTTATCTTTGTCTATTTGCTGAAAATATGATTTTTCGTTGATTGTCTGCAAAGCTTAACATATAGGTATAGGTATTTGTTTCGTACCATTACTCCCATGCCTTCGCCTTTTCTTTTCCTTTCTCTAAGATATTTTGAATATGAGATGTGGAACAATCCTGCAGAAGCCCTGTTGTTGTGGTGAAGTCTCCCTATGATTCTTGTTTCCATTTTAATGGACTTTTTATTTTCTTTATACAGAGCTTTTGTAGCTTCTATGAGTTCTAATTTGTACATTGCCTACCATAGTTCTGACATTGGTACAGAGTCATCCGCCTTTCTATGGTCCACAAATACCAAATGTATATCTCTATTTTTTCTTTTCCAACAGTTGTTCCAGTGTGTATATGTTGTCTATGCATAATCTTCCTGCCTGATCCTCTGAACAAGCTTCTATTTCTAGAAAATGTTTAGCAAAAATATCGGTGATAAATAAATTGAGTGAAAAGTGAAAGCAGTATGTGTTTTATGTTTACATACTTGGTTTTATAAAATAATCATAATCTACTTATTTTACAGCCTAATAGTGAAAATGGAAGACTAGTATTTCATTGTAAACCACTTAATGGTTCAGAAAGAACCATGAATCAGAAGTACATGGAGACATTGGGCGATTTAATCTACCTTTTTTTACCTGGATGTGGACAAGTTAGGAGGATTCTACAAGCTAGAGTACCGATTGTTAAATACCAACAACAGTTAACAGATGTTGAGTGTGATGTATCAATGACAAATATGTATGTACTTATATAGTATTTATCATTTTCCTATAATGTCTAACGATGCAGTCATACAACTAACAATTTTTCTTTCACAAAACTTAGGTATATCAGTGTATCATATTCTATAGACGTTTTTTCTGATCTTATAGGAATGATATCAGTGTATGATCTTCTACATAGATTATTCATTGTGATAATAATTACCTTGTGGCATGTATTTTTACAACTAAGAGTAAAAATTATTTAACATACTTTTTTTTATGATATATCTAAAATAAACATTTTTCATCGTAGGTCTGGTGTTCACATGTCAGATTTTCTGTATATAATGGGAGAACAAGATGACCGAGTAAGGCCATTAATATTTGCAATAAGGAAGTGGGCGAATATTGCTGGTATTACAAATTCGTCTCCAGGAAGATGGATTTCGAATTTTTCTCTTACACTTCTAGTTCTGGCCTTTCTTCAGAACCCTTTAAGTGGAAAACCAGTATTGCCATCATTAAATAAATTATCGGAACTATCAGGTAAGAATTTTAATTTACTTCGTGTTTGAACTTCGTACCGCCTTAAAATTAAATAATGTATCAATAAGCTCATCTTTTGAGTCTTTTAAGTAACAGAAATCTGTGGGTAATGCAATGAATCCAGTTGAGGTGTCAATAGCGACTTTATCATTTCCAATATCGAACAACTGCTTCGAAAACACAATTGCACTTTGATCTTGTTGCAAAAACACTCGCATGTTATTTGTGAATGGAGTGTCTTTATATGCCGCCACAAATTGGATGATGGTAGACATGCATTTAGTTCATCCGCAGCAGTTAATTGGGGAATAATTATTAAATAAGGAACAGTCTGAAAATATAATCATGGTTTCACCAAAAATGTTTCTGAGTGTGATGAATATTTTCAAAGTCTAGTACCTGTAATGACTTCTTGTGAACAAATATACATTCATTCCAAATGATTAACTTCCATACCTGTAAAATCTTCGCCATTGCTTTATTTTTGACGATATTGTAACCTGGCATGTCATTAATTTGTATATTTAATGTGCAATTCATCCGCCTTCTAATAAAGTTGCAGATATTTCAGATGAAGTCAATGCTAGGGCTACTGTGATCTGATCGTTGCTAATAAAATTATCATCAGTGGCATTACAGCTCGTTATGAGCCAAAGCCTTCTTCAGAACAATCTTCAATTCGCCCCTGTTTCTGGCAACTCTTCTCCATGCTTTAACTCCGATGGATTTTAGATCATCCGCTATGTTATCTTGATACCTAAGTTTTGGTCTCCCTCTGGTTCGTCTTCCCACTGGTCCTCTTCGGACAAAAATTTTTCTGATCATTGCATCTTCATCTCGCATAATTACATGTCCTATCCATCGAAGGCTTGCTAATTTAATATATTTTACAACATATTGTTTTTCCCTTTAAAATGAATATCTATCTAGTTATAAATATTTGTCATTTTAGGTCCTGAAGACAAATTTCAATTAGAGGATGGAACAGACGTCTCATTCCTAAGAGATATAAGAAAATATAAAACCAAAACAAAAAATACGGACTCATTAGAACAGCTACTGAAGGAATTCTTTGAGTATTACGCCCATTTTGACTTCGAAAACAAAGCAGTCTGTCTGAACGAAACAGTCAATGTACCAAAGCCAGAATTTAGCCCTATGTATATAGTAAACCCATTAGAAAGGGGTTTGAATGTTAGTAAAAATGTTAGTTCAGACGAAGTAGTAAGATTTAAAAACGAAGTTAGAAATGCGGCATGGATGTTAGAATCGCAGGAGTCAAAATCGACACATTGGGGTCTTCTTTCAATTTTGCAAAATAAAAGAACAAATAGTATATTACAAGCGGTTTCAGCTCATTCACAACAGGGAAGATTGGTAGAAGTTAGTACCTTATTTGAAAGAGAAGATGAAGATAACAAAAAACAAAATAAAAGAAGTAATGTGAAGAATAGTCAGAGGTAGCATATGTTTATACATTTTTTTGTTACATAATAAATATTTTATAAAAAGTTGTGTTATTTAATATTAGGTACCTACCCCAATCCAGAAAAAGATATATAGACCAGTAAAATAACATTCTAATGTACATACAATACATGTAAAAAGTAAAGTAATTCGTTTCAGAACGAATCGTTGAAAAAAATGAAGTTTTGGTATGAAAATATGGATTTATGACAAAAGCATCGGTTTAAAATAACGGCGTCTTTGTTTAAACATGGATTTTATACCGAAAATCGCTATTTTTATTTTTTTTTTTTTTTCAATACTTCTTTCTGAATTAGAAGTTTTCAGTTTTTTTTAGAGGTAATGAAAAAACGCTCCTTTGAGACCTTCAAAATTAAATTTGGTTGATAATTTATTTAAATAATTGCGAAAAACTGCCAAAACTTATAAAAGTAATAACAAAAAAAACAAATGTGGCGGTATCTAGAAGAAGGGCCTATCTGCTAAAAGTGTATTTTGAGAAACAAGCATTCAAATATTTAACATCTATGCCTAAGGCGAACCAACACTTGCATTGTTTAAGTGTTTTAGTTTTCAGAATTTTCAATTAATTGATAAAATAATGGAGAAAAACTTTATAAAATATGTACTTTTTTCTTTTCAAATGAAGAGTATTAAAACAAGTTTACATAAGCCCTTCTTCTGGAGAACAAATTTGCCAGGTTAAGACGTCTCCTGCAGAAGAAAGGCCTACAACTTTTACTGTTGTATAGTATACTACAGTTATATACTATAGTATACAAAGGTTTAAAATAATAATCAAGGTCTTTTCTATCTATCTAATCAAGGTACAACAAGAAAACTTTTCTCAAGAAAAAAGGAGAAACAGTTCTCCTGAAACATCAAGACGAAGCAGAGGTAATCTGACTTGACAATGGCAAGTGTGACCTTGCCGAAACGTCGTCAAAACAATGGTTTTTCTAAAAACCAAAATTACTTAACGCGGAGTCAAACCCGGAAAACAACTGAAATCATATATATATATATATATATATATATATATATATATATATATATATATATATATATATATATATATATATATATATATATATATATATATATATATATATATATGTATATATATATATATATATATATATATATATATATATATATATATATATATATAAGAAATACTGGATATTATTGACTGTCGATATAAACAAACAACACAGTTTATTAGGGTTGCAGTCAGAATTATTGGCCGGGATGTTAAAAAAACACTCTTTTGACTTTTTGTCGAGCTTTCGGAATATTTTTATTCCTTTTTCAAGACATAGTCGTTGAGATTATTTTAGTAAGCATTGAACACTCAACATTAATACCACACATTAAAATATACAATTATGGACAATACATCATAAAATTTTTAAAAATTTGTTGTTAAAAATAGTAAAACTTGATTGATGGCATGTTTTACTGCCTAAAACATGCCATCAATCAAGTTTTACTATTTTTAACAACAAATTTTTAAAAATTTTATGATGTATTGTCCATAATTGTATATTTTAATGTGTGGTATTAATGTTGAGTGTTCAATGCTTACTAAAATAATCTCAACGACTATGTCTTGAAAAAGGAATAAAAATATTCCGAAAGCTCGACAAAAAGTCAAAAGAGTGTTTTTTTAACATCCCGGCCAATAATTCTGACTGCAACCCTAATAAACTGTGTTGTTTATATATATATATATATATATATATATATATATATATATATATATATATATATATATATATATATATATATATATACTTTAATAATTTAAAGTTAACAGGTTAAATTAATCAATTTATCTATTATCTTTTGGTTTATATTTTCTTGGCAAAACATATTCCGAGATTATAATACACTTTGTGTGATTATAAAATTTTCTAAAAATATTTAGAAAAAAGGCGCTGTATTGAAAAAGTAAAACACATTCATTTTGTGCTAACTGCGGCTCTGGAACTGCACGTAGCCGAAGGGATGGTATTAGATGTGTTTCTGGAATATTAGCATCTAGAATAGGAGCTATTGCTTCAGAATATGTCTGTAGAATAAAAATGAAAGTTTCAGAATGGCAGACGACGTTGCTGTAGCCCTGTTAAAATGAACGTGGTAGATGTTCATCGTCATACTATTATATAAATTTCTTATATAATTCTTATATATTTAGATAGCGAGTAAGCAAGAAAACAGTGTTGGTCCTTTTAGAACGTTTTCATGAACATTTAAGTTATAGGACAGGAAGGAATAATCCCGTGTCTCCATTAAATCAAATTTTAATAACCTTAAGGTATTATGCAACTGGTTGCTTTCAATAAGTTCTTGGTGATCTTGTAGAGGTAAATAAAAGTACAGTCTGTAGAATTGTTCATCAAGTGGGTCATTATATAGCACTCCTTCGTGAAGAGTACATAACCATGCCTAAAAATCCCAGAGATATAGCTAAGGCAAAGCAAGGATTTTATACACTAAACTTCCCAGGAGTGATAGGATTGTACTCACATTCGAATTAATTCTCCTGGTGGAGAAAACTCTGAACTATATCGTAACAGAAAGGGGTGGTTTTCCATTAATGTACAGATTGTATGTGATTCCAAGTTACGTATCATGGATATAGTTGCTAGATGGCCAGGTAGTGTACATGACAATACAATATATAACTCCAGTTTATTGAGAGCCCAATTTGAAGCTGGTAAATATCCTAATTGATATTTACTTGGGGATAGTGGTTACACATGCACAAATTTTTTATTAACTCCACTTAGTCAAACTACATCTGAAGCTGAAGAACGTTATCAAAATGCCCACATAAAAACCAGAAATGTTATATAAAGGTTGAATGGGGTTTTGAAAAGCAGATTTCCAGTTTTAGCTACAGGAATGCAAATAGCACTTAATAACATAGGAAGAGTCATTGTTGCAACATCTGTCTTACATAATATTGCTCTTGCAGAAGGAGATGAATGGGAGGAAGAAGCTTTTGCAGAAAACGTTGAAGATGAAATTCCTGTAAGAGGCAATGCAGAAAATGTTGTTAGAAGACATTTAATATCTACAAAATATTTTTAATTAAATAAAATCTGTTAATTTGTTAACACTGATCTGAATAAAAATTTTGTGAAATATATTTCTTAAATAATTGTATGACGTTTATAATAAAATTATTAATGATATTGTGCTTAAACCCCACCAAATAAGAAAAAAAATCAGGTATTAAATGGTTAAATTTATTTATTAAACAAAAAGGATAGTAAAAATTAAAACATATCTATAAAATTAAACATATTCTTTTCCAAAACGAAGCTTATATTCTTCTAACTTAGTTGCCAATTCAACTTGTTTAATCTTTTTTTCTAATTTCACAACTTCAAGAGCTTTTCTTTATTTCTTCGTCCAGCTCATTTTTCAATTTTTGGTCTTTTATTTCTTTTTCGATTTTAATTATATTTTCTTTATTTTTATTTTGATCCTTTATGTAGTCTTCCTTTTGTTTTATTTTATTTTTTTTTTGTTGCTGTTAAAGATGAAATGTTATCATATAGATCAGAAAGTTTTTGTTTGCTTGCTAAAATAATAAAATTAATGTATTCTAAATATAAAAATAATCCTCATGTCAAATGAAATTACCTGACTTTTTTTCTTTTTGGGTTATCATTTTACTGGGACCTGGGGTATCTTTTACTGAAACCATATAGACCTAACAAGATATAGACCTTTTCAATGTTCAATTGGATTGGTATATTGGTATAACCGGTTACCGGTATAACCTTACAAAACTTTCATTGTTGACAATCTTTTTGACAGATCACACTCCGATTCCAATGAAATAATCGAAATAATTCTGTCCTCGTGCAATGTTGCCACGTATAAATTGTCGGTTTGTAAACCAATAGTTTTTTTAGAATGGTGCAACTCCTTTGAAAAATAACCACTGATCCTTGATTTAAATCGTCCAATGAATGACGGTTAGCAAATCAGTTGATAGTCTGTTGGTGCAACTGGGCATTAGCATTTTTTTATATTGGGGAGAGAGGTCTCTTCGGTTACTTCGGCTCCGGGCCTCCTGAATTGTAGTTTGTAGTGAGGTCACTGGGTTTGAGTGGTAATTTAAATATGTTGGTGTGATTGGTTTTCTGTAAACTTTGGTTGCGTATCCTAAATATTCCTTTGGGATTAGTAGATATCTTACCAGAAGAGGAAGTGTTTTTCTTTTTCCATAGTGACTCATCATAATTTTTCATGATTTAGAATTATTTTTGGCTTAATACCATATAAACTTAATATTTAACTTATACATGCCACAACAAAACATTTTCAGAATCAGAACTTTACCAACTGTTTAAAAAAAAAACACCTATCCAGAATTTGCCACGTTCCTGGTACTTCCATAAGCTGGTCATGTAATGTGGATAGATGGCCACATATTACCAAAAAGAGAACTTGACAAAATGAATACAGCTTACATGTCATCGGCGTGTGACGGCACAGTTGAACACAGAAATTAAAGGAAGTCAATCCCCAATTTGGGCTTTAGTGCCATTGGAAGATAAGAAGGAATCTGGTAGTAATAGCGACACAATATCAATATTTGATACATCAATGTAATTTTATTGAATGTTAAGTTATAAAAAAATTAAATAATATATTAACAAAACAACAAAATCTTTTCCCAGATTCTTTCCCCAATCAGTCCTACTATTTTTTCTGAGTTAACAAAAATATTACATTTCAACCACAAATATATAATAAAACTAATGTACAAATAGTTATAAACTATAAAATATATACATGAGCGTTTGTTTCAAACTGTATATCATCGCCGAGCGTGCAAATGATACATTGGAGACACTGTGTCATTAGTGTTACATTCGATATACTGCTGATACATGCAGCAATCTCAATATTCATGTGTAAAATCATCAATATAGGCAGATATGTCATGTTGGCACCATTTCACTCCCAACGATAGATACAGTTATGATTAAACATTTTAAAATTAATAGGAACAAATTGTTTTTAATATGCATAGATAAAAAAATTAAAAGCAGGAAAAAGTAAAAATTTAAGACAGCTAGAAGCGGCAAATAGGCTAATCTAGATTTTGTACTCCCTGCAAGATAAAAAATGGCTAAATTGCACATTCAAAAAGAAAGTGTACTTTTTTATTGACCTCTGAGTAGTGACAACCACATTAGAGTGCCAAATTTAAGAATTCCCATAGGTGGTCATTACTTTAAGTCATCTGTCTTAGCGTTTCAATCATTGTATATAAATTTAACTATATTGTATTAAATTATTAATGGTAAAAAAGTATAGTAACAATTTTAATCAACAAGAAATTAACAAAAAATCAGTTCTGCTCTTAAATGTAATTATTTCAATAATTTAGGGAGGTAAATACTTCGTATAACATGTGATTTTGTGAAACAGCATGCCAGAGAATAATCTAAAACATTTTTTATTTACATTAAACATAAATATTTCTACAAGCTACAGAAATCTAGAAGTTTAATAGAGACAATATCATATATGTCACACAAAGTTGTTTGATACTACTCGTATATGATATAAAAACTCCATGCCACATTCTTCGTTTATACAGAAACATTTGTGTACAATCCAATGTATAATCACGATGGTTTTTTGGGAACAATTTTTCTCAAAGTGCTCTTTGAATCTTTTTTTATCACAGAAGTATTAGTAAGTATAACTGGACTTAAAATTGGTTGCGATATAGAGTCTGATGGTACAAAAGATAATTGACCATTATGAACATATTGAATGAGAATAGCTGATTGTGATCCATTTGTTGTTGCTGCTGTTGTAGTATTTAATGTTGGAGTTGTGGATGCTTGTGAACACTCCGTTGTAATTATTGATGCCAGTATTCCACCTAAACATAAATTAAACATCAAATATGATATTAAAATTGTAATATTTTTAATGACGATGATTTATGATAATACAAATTAGTGAGTCTTAATTACATAAACATAACTTCTTCTGGTCTTAATCATCTAGTATAATTTAGTGTTTAGTTTTAATGATTTGACAGTGTTCTTAATGTTGTGACAGTTGTTAGTATTCAAATAATTGTTTTGTTATTCTAATGTCAAGTTTTAGATCTGTTTATGGTCCTCATTTGCAGTATCCCTAATATTTTTAATTCTGAATTAACATTGCAAATATAGATCTCATCAGAAATGAGGAGATAAAACAAAGAATGGCAGTAGAGCAAGACATACATTGAAGAAAAACGTTTAATTTGGTATGGACATGTGAGAAGAACATATCATACAAGGTGGATAGCAAAGATTTTGGATTGGAGCCCAATAGAAACGAGGAAAAGAGGTAGACCCTGAAGATCATGGAGGAATGAAGTGGACGAGGCCATTGAAAGACAAGACCCTAGAGATGGAGAATGACAGAACAGAAAGGACTGGAGACATTGGCTGAAAGAAGGAAGGCAGCAACAGCTGTAAAAATCCTTATATAGATAGATAGACATTGCAAATATATTATATAAGTATATTAAATATTATATATGGACAAAGAAGTATTGGCAGAGCAAGAAAAAGATGGTGCGACAATTTATAAGGCTTATATCGAAGAAGAAACAGGCTTTAAAGCCTATATACTAGAAGGAAGAAGAAATATTATATATTATAATATATTAATGTTTTGTAATAATATACCTAACAAGGTATATTTATAGAACTTAAATGTGAGCTAAATAATATAGTTTATTTGCACAATGATTGCATTATAAGCATTGAACTAATTATTAAATTTTCTAGTTAATCTAAAAAACATAAATACCTTGATTGGGACATTTACTGTGCTGCAATTTAAGCAGTTTTAATTCTTGCTTTAAAACAGCATTTTCTGCTGTTAAATGTAAAAGCTCTGCTTCCATTTCCTTCCAAAGTTGTTGTTTTCTCTTACGACACCTATTTTGAGCAGCTTTATTCATCTCCCTAATTTTTTTTAGCTTGTTATCTTCAGCTTTGGTTTCTTTTTGAATCCTATCTTTACTTGACAAAGATTTCAAAGGCACAACTGTCACAAATTTATTATCTTCATCTACTAACTTTTCCTTTTTTAAATTATTTTGAATTGTTTTCTTAATTTTTTCTTTTAAATTCTCTTCATGGGGATTATGCACTACAATATTTGGTGAACTAGATGAAGTATCTTCATTGGCAGTAGGAAAAATGAATGATTCACAGTCACTTTCATTTTTTGGAGCTGCTTCTGATATTTTTCGTTGTTCTTCTTTAATATGAGGTAAAATGTGTGGGGTATGTAAAGATTCATTAGAATTATGTTCCTGAACTTCCAATGCAATACCATTTTTAACAGAATCAATTGCTCTTTTAAAAAGCTCATCAAATGGATTAACATTTTGTAAGTCTTGAAATAAGCCCACTTCCTCACAATTTCTTATAAACCTAGTTGGAGTGGGAGTTTGGTCTGCTACTTCATTAACAGTATTTTTGTTGACTAATCCCAAATTTAGCATCATTGCATGCTTTTTATGATGCCAATCTAAGTGATCTTTGTTAGTGAAAGTCATTTCGCATCCCTTAACGTCACAGGCAAAGGGTTTTTCTTGATCAACTGATGATTTTTGGACCAACATATTAGCACTTGAAATGTTTAGTAAAAACTTAAACTAAACTCATACTAAATCCTGGTTACGTATTTAAATACACTAACATGAGATAATAATGCTCTATTAGTAATCGCTTATTTGCCCCAGATGAGACAACGTTCTTTAAAAAAGTTATCATCAAAAATTACCAAATTTTTACTGAAATAACAATATTACTTATATCACAACAAATAACTCATCTTCTGTCATCACTTAAATGTCAAAACTGTCAACAAATGATAAATATCCTAGTGGACTCTTACATCTCGGTACTCAAGCAAAAAGCAAATTTATTTAAAAATCAAACAGATTGTCCGCAAATATTTTACATAGACAACTTACAGCGAGTATAATTTAACCATTCTAATTAATTTCAAATTGTAATTTTAGCCAAAATCAATGACATAATCGTCATATTCTTGACATTCTTGACTTGACTTTAACCACTGAACCACAGAATACTTGTGATTAGTGTTCTGTGACTGAACAGAACAGAAACAGAACAACTTAACCTAAAAACGTCGTGTTATGGAGCAGGAATATAAATAAACATTAAAAGACTTTCTTTTGAAGAATTTTCAGTTTGCAGACCACTTATTATCATGCAAAATAAAACAGGAACTCCTTCAAAGTTTCAACCTTTACAACGTAAGTTACATTCTGTTTAGTTACTAAATATATTAAATGGGAATATTTATATTCTTAAAATGGTTGGGTACTATTTATAATTAAAATACTGAAGACTTCTATTCATTCATACATTCATTCTAAACATTTTTAATATGTTTCAAGAAATTTATAAATTCTATAAATTTCTTGAAACATATCCTTGCTAGACATGCCATACCTCCTAACATTAGCATATTGCTAGATATAATTCACCATTTAGTGTAAAAACCTCAATTTAGGCAAATATGTCACATTGAGGGTACCTATTGTATATTTGGCAAAGATGTATGAAGCCTGAAGCCTGACATTTTTAGTTTAAATGACTGCTTGTGTTATAGTAATAGTAATATATACTTATACAAGATCTTATGTATGGTTCCATATTATGTTTTGTATTCTGTGTATCTTAGAATCTTGTACAATATATATATATATATATATATATATATATATATATATATATATATATATATATATATATATATATATATATATATATATATCTACATTGTAAACAGTTAATTACAATGTTTATCCAAATTAAATACATTTCAATAATTACATATATATTATGTTCCAGTTCCCCAAAGTCCTGTGGCAAGTTCACCAAATAAAAATTTAACTGGCTCACCTAGAGTAGTTAGAGACATTGCTGCAGATCTTTACAACACAATTCAAAGTTGGAACTCCTTTTATATCAATGGTGCCCAGATTGTCAAACAAATAGCAATTTTAAAAGCAGATAACATGGATGTCTATTCTACAGAATTGGAAGAATACACAAATGCGTTGTACACATGTGTTCAAGGTTTAAAACAATGTGAAGAGAAATTGCAGTTGTGTAAACATCAATTGTGTGCTTTACAAAAAGTTGGAAGAAAATTAGAACCACTTTTTATATCACTGAATATAAATGAGATTGTGGATTTAGTTGATATCATTGTTAATTCATATGTTGAGGAATTTAAGGTAAACTAGATTATTAGTTTCTTCTTTATAATGGTGTATCGCTTTTGCACATAAAATATTTTAAATTATTTATTTATGAAATGAACTCTATTATAAAGAAAAATATACTAAAACAAGCCTACATAATAATTTCCTTTATATCCCTGTTCTTTTTTCTCTGATTTGCCTCTTAAATCTATACAAGGAAAAGCTTTTTTAGGAATTTTCTTTCAAAAACTTCCAATTTTCGGTTTGTATTTTCTGTCATTTTAAATTCTGCTGCTTGTGTTTTCTCTTTATTTAATTGAGCTCCTAGATATGTGAATTTCTTCACTATGATTTAGCAGCTCTTTTCAATTGTAGATATATTTCTGCTGACTTTTCGCTGTATGTGGTATGATGTTAATTTTATTGATGTAACTTTCAAATTGTACTGATTGGTTTATTAGGATATGGATTTTTCTAAAATTAGCTATCTTATGACATATTCAAGAGCCTTAGCTGACTTTTGGAACCATTCCATCGCCTTATTTTAGCTCTTTCACTATTTTAAAGCTGTCAGTAAATTGTTTTGTATACATACAATCACCTTAAATATTATAAAAGCCAAAGTATTTATTTTTTAATCATTAAAATGTGACATACTCACCGGAGGGACCGCAGATGTTCGGATACAATAAGTGTCTCTTAGCAAAGACAATGACGTCGACTTTGCTAAGTATCAAGACAATTACTCTACACACACACACACACTACACACCTGACTGTAAAAATTTACTGTACCATAAAAAAAGTGACATATGAAGACTGTCATATTTTTAAACATGACAACTTTGTTTGAATATTGGCGATCGTGTTGGCTATAATGATTTTAGTTTAAACCTAATTTTGTTTTTAGGTGAAAGAAATTGTCTTAGAAAATATTGCACATGCCAAAAACAAGGATGAAGTGATGTTTTTTGCAGCCTGCTGGACTCTTCAGCCTAACATAACTGATCAGATTAATCTTAAAGTAGAGGCACTTCTAGTAGAAACGGGACACAAGAAAGCTAGTTGAATGTATTGTATTTGCTTCCAGAAATTGCTAAACTTTCAGAAATATGCTCATTAAATCATTGAATGTATGTTAAAAACAACTGCTCAACTGTTCAAACTCTCTTTTCAAGAGATTTAAACTAATCTTTTTAAATGTTTTTGGTAATTCTGTTATCCCTTTGCTCAGATCAATCTATTACCTCTAGAAGCTAATGTTAATTTATCTTTGAATAGAATGAATAAGATATCACCAAAATGCCATTAACAAAATACTCTTTTTCTCTCAATTCTCTCTCATTTATTTTTAAAAATGAAAACTATAGAGGATACAGTTAATATTCTAGCAAGAGCAGAACCTATCATATGCGGGCATCCGGCCTTAATTCATATAAACAAGATACAACTCACTCCAGCTTAACAACAACATCCAGATGAGAAGGAACAGAAGTTTTTTGTATTCAGTGTACAAAATATAAACACTCGAAAAGAAGTTAGAAGTCTTATAAGATGAATATTTTTTTGTAAAATATTCCTTTTTATAATGTAAAATTGATTTTAATAAAAACTTATGTTAAGCAGTGTTTGCATGTATGTATCTTTTCTCCTATATTTTCCTATACTCTAAAATGTAAGATTAAAATTGGTTTCTTGACAAAAATCGGAATTTAATTTAAACTATCAACAGTACTTCAAAGTGTGTGATATAAAACTTTGGAAAGAGGCAAAAAGTATCAATGCCAGTAACTCCATTATGTACTGATGATACCTACTTTCAACTAAATAATGAATTCTGTAACGTAACTTGCTCGGACGGACAGATATTGGTAGTTAAAACAGAAAAGAGAATTCCAGGTGCAAGTATGTTCACCTTACAAACCTTCCTAGGTGTTTTGAACACAAAGGTGAGCTTTGGGACATGGATCTATCAATGGAAAATGGGATATATTTAGATAAAAAATTGGGAATTGAAACGTACTAATGAAAATGAGAGAATTTGATACTAAAATAAAAGGAAAAATAAAGAGCGCTGCCTAGCCCTTTTTTGAGGGACGAGGAAAACTCGACACTTGACCTATGAGGAGATTGGCTTAAGAAAGATTCTACAAGAGTGACAAATATTCTAAACTTAAAAAAAAAAACAAAAACGAATACCGTAAAACGGGGTGAATAGAAACTAAATGACACTATTTTACTAAAAATATAAGTTATTTAAATTTAATCCGGGAAATAACTATTGAGGTTACAACTGTAACCGAGTGCTTAGAACATGATATCTCATTCATTTTTTTGCCGCCAAATTCTACACATATGACCCAGCCCCTTGATGTGGCTTTTTTCGCCCTTTAAAAGAAGCATGGCGAAAAATTCTTGAAAAGTGGAAAATGGGTGAAGGAATAGGGCAGGTACTATACCCTAAGATCGCTTTTCTCATTTAGTTTGAGAGCTGATGGACAGCATCAGACCCAACCAAGAAAAAATATTAAGTCTGGTTTTAGAAAATGTGGGATCTACCCGTTAGACCATGATCAAGTCCTAAATCGACTCCCTAGTACTAACACTGCAAATGTTCAAAAAGTCGAAGAACATTTTAGCAATGTAGTGGTTAATATGCTGAAATCTATGAGATATTCTGATACTCCTACACAACTACGAAAGAGAAAGAAGGTCACCGTAGTAGCTGGTAAAAGTGTAACTGGAGCAGACTTAAGAGAAGAAAAAAGTGAAGACGAACAGATTGATTCAGATGCGCATAACGACAAAAATATTGAAGAGAATGAATCGAGTGAAAGTGAAGGGGAGGTTGAACCAGATGATGAAGAGATGAATATTCCTTTAAGCCAGATTACTGAAAATCAAAAACGTGGACAGACAAGTGTTCCTGTTCCTAGTGATACCTACAAAGGCAGAATTTTTAAACAATAGGTTTATCCCATTTTGAAAGAATCTATTCAACTATCAGATTGGATGCTGGTTACGTTTTCAACCAGTTTTAGGAAAAACGAAAGACTTAAGTATTATATTGTAAAAGTGTTGAAAATCATTGATCAAAACGGTGACATTTACGGAACCATTTTGTGGCATCCCTAAACTAAGCAAAAAACCAGGATTTTTTATGGATTTCCCACGAAACCTGACGTTTCCTATTTCTCTTTTGGCCAAGTTGTTGATTCATCCATCTGATAACCATCAAATTCATCCATCTGATAACTCCGAACTGCCAAGCAGTTCAAATAGGGAGATTCTTAAATTTCTCATCGACCAAAATGATCTTAATTAATGCAATCTGTTATTTTTACGAGCAAAGCTGTTATAAATTACTAGAACGACTTTTATATAACCGAATATGTAACACCATTGAGGATGCTGTACCAATTGAACAAGCTGGATTTAGAAGAGGACGAAGTTGCTGTGACCAAGTGCTGTCCGTAACTACATTTATTGAAGCTGGCTTTGAAAGACGCGAAAAATCTGCCATAACATTTATAGATCTCACGGCTGCCTATGACACGGTGTGGAGAGAGGGCCTTATTTATAAGCTGATGAAAATCATACCTTGCCTCAAAACTTGCCAGCTGATAAACAATCTACTGACTAACAGACTGTTTCAGGTATATATGAATGATGCACAGAGTAACGTTAGAAAACTTAACAACGGCTTACCTCAAGGCTCAGTGCTAGCTCCTTTATTATTTAACCTTTATACAGCAGATATACCTGAAACAAAATCGAGAAAATTTGCTTATGCTGACGACCTGGCCATTGGCTTCCAAGATAATAGTAAAGAAGCAGGAGAACGAGCTCTATACGAGGACTTATCTACACTAAGTAACTATTTTAAGAACTGGCGCTTACGTCCTAACACAAGCAAAACTGAAACCTGTCTCTTTCACCTGTCGAATCAACTTGCGCAGTCGTTCATCTTACAAACGCAGCCGGTAAACTAAGCACACGAAATAACTTAATATCAAAACTTGCTGGAACAACTTGGGGTGCTTCTGCAGATACTCTTCGGACCTCTACTCTAGCTTTGGTTTTTTCAGTGGCAGAATATTGTGCACCAGTATGGCTAAATAGTGCACATACAAGCAAAATCGATGTCCAACTTAACCAAACCATGAGAATAATCACTGGAACAATAAAATCAACGCCAGTGAGATGGCTGCCTACTCTGAGCAATATTGCTCCACCAGATCTACGCCGTACAGCAGCATTAGTGAGAGAGTACCAGAAAATTGTAGCCAACGTACAATTACCAATACATCAAGATATCCCAGACATCTCAAAAGAGCACCAACGATTGAGATCTAGAACTCCTTCAATACAATCTGCCCGAAAAATTGGTAATTCCTATGATATACATAGGCAATGGACAACAAGATGGATGCCAACAGTAGAATCGGACTATATTAAGATATCCACCCCAACTCAGGGTTTCATCGGATCAAATCTGCCCTGGTCCATTTGGGCAAGGCTTAATCGTATACGTACCGGACATGGTAAATGTGCTGATTCGCTGTTCAGGTGGGGTCGTGCAGAAAGTCCACAGTGCGATTGCGGAGAATCTAGACAGACAGACCATAAGCCATTGTGTTTCAGACTGCTTGAATCGTGCCTACCGTGGAAACCTCCAGGACTTTGCGGAATGTTCCCCAGAAGCAATTGAATGGCTATGTAAATTGGACATTAATATTTAGTGTCATTCATTCTATTCATTCTATTCATTCTATTTTTATTATTTTTAGTGTTTGAATAATATATAATATATATGTGTATAATATTGTAATTGTATTTGTATATTTATCGTACTGTGAAAGTCCATACGCTAAATAAAATAAAAAATTTTTACGAAGATTCTGTTGCGATAATTAAAGAGCAGATCTAGATTTAAGTTAAAACTTTTTTTATTTGTTCCTACACATGTAATTTTTTTGTTCCTATAGTTATAACAATACAAAATTTATGCTGTGAGAATTATTGCAACGCAACAGGGTCTTTTGTGTTCCCTAAAGTAAGAAAGTTGTATATTTTTCTATATTTTCATACTTAATAAACGATATAAATTGCAAATTTGTATGTTTATTATATTTATTTACTAAAAAAATAAATTGCACATATTAGGTACGTACTGATATATTTTTAAATGTCTCTATGACCTCCGGAATGGTATATAAGCCAAACTAATACAAAACAAAGCATTGTTTAGGGTGAATAGAAAAACACCACTTTTCTCAAATTTTCTTTTTGATAAACTTTTTAAAATGTGCTCACTAGGCCCGTAAACCTATTAACCGTGACACAGATTTTGCATATATTCCGTAGCCGATTAGATAAATACCAACCTAACTACAAATCCTGAAAACTTCAAAACTGTTTCTATTGACCCCGGTTTACGGTATATCATCAAAAAGAGAGAGAAACAAACACACTTACCTTGTCTATTATTGTCGCTCTATATTTCTGTCAGAGTCATGTTATTATTTACCACAAGAAAGGAAGATTATGAGAGAGTAATAAACAAATAATTGCTATAAATTAACAATTTTTATTTCTTAAAAGTTCATAGAGAATGTCAACATATTAGCAAAATAGACATAATTTAAACAAAGCAAAAATCAATAATATATATTTAGACAAATCAGGTTTTAAATATTCCTAGAATTAGATAAATACGTTTATAACTGAGTGTAAGCTAAAGTGTGAATTTAAATAGCAAAAATTAAACAAAACTATTATGACATTACCTCAGTTATAGCATATGATGATATCGGTATTATAACTTAATATCTAATAAAATCTACCTATAAAATTTGCTAAACAAAAAGTAGATATAATAATTATCCTTCGAATACTACAGTTCTGCATAGAAAAACTTTTGAGTTGTACAAAAAAAAACAAAGGTTATTCCGAAATATAAAAAAGATTATGGGACATATCCTATACAAAAAACGTGGTACTGCACTGCACTAAATACGTATGGAACAGAAGTTGAGATATACAAAATGAAACGAGGTATATTTCCTTAGTTAACCAAATAGAAAACATTCAGCAATTGTAACTCCTGTTTGATTGGTTTTATATTAATTTAAAACGACTCACAAAGAACCCTGTTTATTTTCCTCCAGTCAGCACTGACTTTAAACTTTTAACTTAATTATATTTCAAACACTTTATTTAGTCTATTGCGTATACTGTTATAAAAATCAACATTCAACACTATATAAATATCAAATTTCGATTAAAAAGTTTATGAAGCATACTATTGCATACCTAATCACAAAATACTATCACAACAATTTCATCAATTTGTACTTTGTAACAAATGACTAGTAAACAGGAAATTTTCTGTTGTTTCCACTTAATTGTTTCAGTTAGAAATCCCAAACAACAGAGTGACCGTCTCAGGAAAATGCAAAAAATATCACTAATATAGGAACGAGTATAACAAAAACCGCATATACCGAACTTCTTGGTTCACATTCCGATAGGACTATAAATTCTTCATTAAATAAAGATTCGTTATCTACTAATGGAAGCTCCATTACTAACTTTTCTGATGAAAAAAAGTTCAAATCAACAGTGCACGTTTCAGAAGCATTAATACATTTGGCAACTGGATTCGAGATGTTGTAAACAGTTTTTTCGATATCGAATTTGACTCGAACGTAGTTAGTTTGTACTTCATTTTCACTATTGAACACAAAGAAATAGTATCCATTGAGAGGTACCCTAAAAATAAAAAGGTTTATTAAGAATATTTTTCTACTTATTGGTAAACGTGCTACATACTTAAATTAATATGTCTGACTTGAAGATTATAGGTGAAAAATTAACAGAACAGTTACAACATACACTATTTGAAGGGTATGGATGCAAAAGTTACATTCTCCACTCTTTGTCAAAAACGTATTTTTAATTGTTTTGTATTCTCCACATTGAAATACACAATTTTTTAAAGATTGAGAGAGCAGAACTCACAGTCTCTTGTACAAATGAATGAATAAAAATTACGTTGTTATCCCAAAACTAACATTCTCCGCCATATTAACTTAAAAAACTTACGTTCTCCCTTTTAGCCTATGAGACTGGAGGGTTATGGTTATGTGCCACCTAGGCTGTTTGTTAGCAGCAGTGTTATAATTTATTAATTTTTGTGTTGTAAAAGGGTTTTCGAAATCCAAACTTACTAAGGAAAATATAACTTCCTACGAATGGACAGAACGAGTTTGGAAAAGGTTCAGATGTAAAAGCATCCTGTTTATTTGATTTAATATGTGCTATAGATATGACTCTATACACGGCTGTTCGTCCTGTGAGTAATAGGTGTATGGGTCAAAATAAAAACACAATTTAACTTGGCACGCTGGCCAAATGGTTGCTAAATGCGTCAAATCATATAACGGAGCTCCATGACAGGTTACAGCCCTCATGATCGCGTTTTTGGAAATAGAGAAAATTGAGAAGGAAATCAGAAAACGTGAGATAATCGTTAACCCTGAGAAATATATTCAAATTATAGACAGATTTGCTACTGCTAAAAACCTTGGAGATGATGTAACAGTTACAAATTGGAAATCGGTAACAAAGAAGTCGTAAAAGCTCCTGGTTCTTTGCATTTTGACATATAGTCATGTAAGCGACTTTACTTTATCCAAAAGAAGGTACAAAACGACACCCGTGTTTTGGTTCAAGGTGAGACAACTTACAAGTGGAGAAGTGAAGTTGCGGACACGGCACGAAGCAATACTAAACGAGGACAAACTTTGCATAGCTTAAGGCCCAGGACTATTGCTAAAGGTAATTGTGTAGCAAAACCCCAAAAGAAAGATGACACAAATTCTCTTTTAAAGAAACATTATGGAGATGAGTGGAGAAAATTTGAAGAACTACATTTTTACAAGCATGTATTAGACAATCCAGAAGAGGGAGTTGCAACTGAAAAAGATGAATTTTGCCTTGCTGTTAATTAGATACCTCTTTTCTAAATTTAATTTTTTATTGGAAAGTTTTATACTTTAAAGTAAAATTTAAGCAAAGTAAAACAAGTTTAAAAAAAACTGAATTTTTTTATACCTCAATTATATTCGTAAAGTATCATGGAACTTTTTTATCTGAACATTCCCATTAAGCTTGGTGTCAAAACTAACTATTTAACTGGTATCAAATATTAAGACTCTACTGCGGTCTATATTCCTTCTTGCCATAGTTTTATAAAGGTTTTTACTAACGGATGGAACAATTATTTAAAATTTTATAAATGAACACAATTGTGGTGTTGTAAAAGACCCTTTGTTGAACTAAATCCCACTGCAGCATGCTAAGCATTGTTGCTATAGGTGTATATCTGCTTTCACCAAGAAATATTCTCATTCCACGATATTTTAATTTTGCAACTGATTTAAATTGAAGTGAAAAATAACCGATGAGCCAAAATCGAAGTGAGGTTGAATGATTGCATTAAAAGAGACTGCATCTGTAAGGACTATAGAGGGATAAAGTTAATGTTGCACGTAATAAAAATTTGGGAGATAACTGTAGAGCAAAGGTTAAGGAGAGACGCATCGATAGGAGAAGAATAGTTTGGGTTTATGCCAGGAAGGAGTATAACGGATGCCTTGTTTGCTTTGAGACAGTTGATAGAGAAATACGGCAAGAAGAAAAGAAAACTACATTTGATATTTATAGATCTTGAGAAGTCGTGGACAAGGCAACAGCTATGGAGATATATGAGAGAGAAATGGGTTTCTGAGAAGTACGAAAGGCTTGTGAAGGATATGTATGAGGGTACACACTATAGGGGCTCGTACACTAAAGTAAGGACTGCTGTCGGAAAGTTTTCCAGTGACGACTGTTTTGCATTAAGGCAGTTATGGATGTACTGACAAAAAAAGTAAGGGAGGGCAACAAGTATCTTTCAAAGATAGGCATCTTTAGTAGAAGAAAAACTAGCAATTTTTTACAAAAAGTTTAAATAAACCTAATCTTGCAAGGTTATTGAGAATATAAACTATTTTCATTTTAATCATCAGAATTTACAACCATAACATCATTATCTTTAATATTTGTTTGTTTAATATTTATATAAAGCAGAAATCTGAATTGTGTTTCGAAACTATTTTACGTTTGTTGTAATTAGATGTCGCTACTGCGTCCGTATTGAAGCCATGTTATTGTTGCTTCTTAAAAGGCAGAAAATATTGATTTTTCACGTTGAGGACTCCTATGAATAGCTCTTCTGACGAGACCTATTAGGTCGAAATACGTATCAAGAGATACATAGGATTTGTTTGCGTGAAATCAAATATTTGCTGCCTTTCTTCATAATATTTATATTGTTTAAATTCTTAGAATCATACTTACTTATACGAAATAGTGTTATCTCTAGAACTTTCTTCATCCACATATTCTCGTACGCATTTTCTGTGAGGCAGAAGCGGTAAACTTAATATTAAGCCAGCACAATTTAGTAGAGCTTCTTCTGAACTCGAAAATGACGACCAAAATTCGCTGTTGCTCATATCATTTAAGGAAGTCTCATTAAATGTTCCTCGGTGATCGGCTATTCCGTCAGGGTGGAATTCCTTGAAAATGAAGAAACGTTAAGGCCGTATGACACTATGCATTTTCTTGTATCATTTCTTATATCGTTTCTGATATAACAAAAAAATGAATTACTATTTATAACTGGGAATAAGCCACATTAAAGATAAAAATACATTTATTGACGTTTCAATTTCCAATTCGGAAATCGTTCTCAAAATACAAATAGTAAATTAAACAAATTTTGTTTTTTGTTACATAGTGAAAAAATTCTTCTGATAATTTAATTTTATCTGACTCATTTATATTGACAATTCAGACATACATTATGCATTTTAAAGTAGACGACTTTAAAATGATATTGCCAATATTGTTGAGTTGCGCTCCTGGGACGACTTTACTTATAAGATAGTTCATTCGATTACATGAAATCAACTTTAACTTGAGAATATCCGTCAGAAAAAATCATAGCATGTAATTCGTCTTTAAAAAGACAAACACATGACATGATGACAGTAAAATTCTCCTGTTAGTGATTCCATAGTAAATTATGAGGGAAAAACCAGGAAAAAAACCTCACAATACTATCCCGACATTGTAAGTATTTGTTCGTGAATTTAGTTTACCTTCAACAAACATCAAAATTCTGATTTTATGTTACGTTATTTAAAAAACATAAATGATGTATCCTCTATATGTTACTGACTTACTAATACTGGTATTTTCTTATTAATAACTTCCTCTTTCAATATTGTTAACCAGATCCTACTACATTCTGCCGAGGAATTTGCGACACAATTGGCCTCATTTAGCATAATTAGAGCCGCTTCTTTGATTTTTCTTTTTTTACCATCCGTTTCTTTTAGGACTATGTAGAAAAGGAAGAATACAGAGTGTTATGTAAACTTGAATTGGAAAAATCTACTAAAATTGAACAAAACATAAGCAAAGAGGAACTAAAGGCTATAAGAACTTTAAAAAATGACGACTCCATAATCATCCTACCAGCAAGATGTAAATTTTTTAGTCCTAAAAGAAACGGATGGTAAAAAAAGAAAAATCAAAGAAGCGGCTCTAATTATGCTAAATGAGGCCAATTGTGTCGCAAATTCCTCGGCAGAATGTAGTAGGATCTGGTTACCAATATTGAAAGAGGAAGTTATTAATAAGAAAATACCAGTATTAGTAAGTCAGTAACATATAGAGGATACATCATTTATGTTTTTTAAATAACGTAACATAAAATCAGAATTTTGATGTTTGTTGAAGGTAAACTAAATTCACGAACAAATACTTACAATGTCGGGATAGTATTGTGAGGTTTTTTTTTTCCTGGTTTTTCCCTCATAATTTACTATGGAATCACTAACAGGAGAATTTTACTGTCATCATGTCATGTGTTTGTCTTTTTAAAGACGAATTACATGCTATGATTTTTTCTGACGGATATTCTCAAGTTAAAGTTGATTTCATGTAATCGAATGAACTATCTTATAAGTAAAGTCGTCCCAGGAGCGCAACTCAACAATATTGGCAATATCATTTTAAAGTCGTCTACTTTAAAATGCATAATGTATGTCTGAATTGTCAATATAAATGAGTCAGATAAAATTAAATTATCAGAAGAATTTTTTCACTATGTAACAAAAAACAAAATTTGTTTAATTTACTATTTGTATTTTGAGAACGATTTCCGAATTGGAAATTGAAACGTCAATAAATGTATTTTTATCTTTAATGTGGCTTATTCCCAGTTATAAATAGTAATTAATTTACAATGCCACAAGAAAATAGCTTCAGAACAACAAAAAAATGGATAGTGTCATACAAGCGTATAGTTTCTTATATCAGAAACGATACAAGAATTTGTGACCGCTGCATTTTATTGTACAAGAAATGCGCCAATTTGTGTGCAAAAACGTAAAACTTCATATTGGCGGCTGGAGGAGAACTTTGATATACAATTAGACCAAGCAGACATCAGAGAAAAGTGCCCACCAACAATAACCAAGATTAGAACATCAGTAGCCAAATTGAAAAACAATAAATCACAGGGATCGGATCAAATAGCATCGGAACTACTGAAAGTAGAAGGAGATGTTTTACTAAAAACAATACATAACCGCTCTAAAAATTAGCGATGAGTTTAAAGATTATTTTATATCTCCAAATAAGAGAGTAGAATTTCAAGAGCATGCCATTCAAACACACAATTAAAAAAAAACAAATAAATTATTATAACCAAATTATTTATTATTTCTGTCTTCCATTACAGCATGTGGAATATCTTCAAAAATTGTGGATTCCAATTTAGTTTTAATCTTGGGACTATTTATTTTATATCTATTTCTTTCATTTTTGCACCACAGTATTTTAAAAAATAATCAGTAGCATTTGTCACTAGCGTCTAGCCGTTGGCAGGTCAGTATAATCCTGACCAATCCAATCGCACTTGATTTTGTGTGTAGCGCGTCATTCAAATTATGTATAGGTTTGAGTGTAACAGTCCTCATTTCTCATATCACGAAACGTTCTCAGATTGTTCACACAAATAACGAGTTATGTTTAATTGTTTTGAATACACAGAAACTCATAAAAATGTTGTAGACACTTCAACGGAAGATAGCAAAATCAAGAAAGATTCTAAGAAGTGTCCTTTGTATAATTTTTATTCAAGTTATGTTGCAGAATTGCATTCTCATTTTCAAGAAGAACACAACCTAATCCTAGAAAGTGAAACACTTCAATTTTCCAATTTAGTCTCTTTTCAGGAGTGAAAATGTTTTATTGAAAGTAGTACAAAAACCAAATACGTTAAAGTCGAGAACTTTTCCGCAAAGACTCACAAAATAATGAAGTTTCTCTGTCATCGGTCAGGCTGCTTTGATTCTGAAAGCAAAGGAAAAAGGCACTTAAAAATGAAAGACAGTATTGGTGGATTTTGCCCAGCAGTCTCACGGTTGTGGTTGATTTGGCAGAAAAAGTTGAAGTCAATTTTATAAAAACACACATTGGACATCAAACTGATATTGGACAGTTATTTCCAAGTGTATATGAACGTCGGTTTATTGCTGATATTTGATTGTGGTAATTATTTTTATTATACAACAACATAACAAATAACAACAACTATTTAATAAGTGACAAGCAGACAAGCCCTCCCTCACTTGTTGCCAACTCACAATAAGATAGTATTTATAATATGTAAAATAATAAAACTGTGTATTTAAAACAACTAAACATTACTTCTTGTTTGAGTGAACAATCCGAGAACGTTTCGTGATATGAGAAATGAGAACTGTTCTGTTACATTCAAATATGTACATAATTTAAATGACGCGCCACACACATACTCAAGTGCGATTGGATTGGTCAGGATTATCCTGACCTGCCAACGGCTAGACGCTAGTGCATTTGTCCTCAGTCCCCAGTAGCTTGGGGTCCTCAGGTACTGCAGTTCTATTTTTATAGGTGTCAAAATTTCGACCAATCATGTGCCAAAACACATACAATCTCTGGTAAAAGAACTTGCATAGTGTCATACAGGGCAAAAATGTACGTGCAAGAAACGATGCAAGAAAACATAAATAACTTTCTATATCAGAAACGATATAAGAAATGATACAAGAAAATGCATATTGTCATACGGCCTTTAGACATAAATTTCTAAAGAAAATAGAGTTTAGATACCTAGTTAAGTGTACAAAAAATACTAGCTGGATTAAAGATGTGATAAAAGTGAGAAATGTTACATAGTTAGACTTAAAATTTAAAAGAAAATTGGGATGTCTTAACATTCGACAACATAATAAGTAGACTAAGAAGCTCACTTATTAGCTTTAAAGATAATTTATTGAATAATATAATAATAGGGAGGAATAGAAATACCTTAACTCAGATGAGATTTATTCACGACCGTAAAAAACTTCCTAAAAAAAAAATAACAATGTCACTAGATAGATACCTAAGGAAGAAACAAAATAGAAGAAGAGTAGACAAGAAGAGGAAGAGAGGCGTGGAAAAGAAGCGTTAGAACTCATAAATAGTTTATTTCAAATTCACGAAAATTTTCAGTTAGAGTCAAATTACTATTAGAATAGATAAATTAGAAGAACAACAGAATGATTTAGAAAATAAAATAGTCGATTAATAAAACAATTTAAAAACCGATTTAGAAAATAAATTAACACAATATCAAAACTATTTAAAACAACAACAAAACTATTTAAAAAATAAAATAGCAAAACGATTTAAAGTTAAATTTAGAAAGCCAAATACTTAGTTGAGTTAGAAAGAAAAATTAATACCCAAGCTTCTTTATCTAATATTGTTTCAGTTACTAATTTCGAATCCCAACAAACAGCTTCATTATCTTCCTTAGTTTAATCAGGCACAATTAGAACAAGTAAAATTTTAAAACCACCCACATTCGATGGTCAAACAGCCTCTTCTTCTTGTAGTTCCTTCTCCTATCGGAATTTAGCTATCATCACAATTATCCGTACCTTTTTGGCTGGCAGCTGTTCTGAAAAGATCTACTGAACTGCAACTATACCACTCTCTTAGATTTCTTAGACAGGACATTTTTCGTCTTTTGTTTTGATATTATATTGCATTATGAGCCTTATTATCTCATATTTCGCACCTCTGGTAATGTGGCCTATATATTCTATCTTTCTTGTTTTGATGTGCTTTATGATCTAGTAATCTTTTTGTAGTCTTCTTAACACTTCTGCATTTGTAACTCGTTGGGTCCATGGTATTTTCAAAATCCTTCTATAGTGCCACATCTCAAATTGTGTCAATGGTCAAACAGCATGGGAAACTATAATCATCATTGGTGCTACAGCCCTATAAAAGAGCCTCGACCTCCTTCCCAAGTCTATTACGCCAGTCAGTTCTATCTATTGCCAACTGTTGCCAGTTTGCTGCTCCCATTTTTCTACCATCCTCATCTACACCATACCTCCATCTGAGTTTTGGTCTACCACTGCTTCCCACAGGTTTTGACATAAGGATTCTTCTAGGAGGGTTGTTCTGCTGTAATCTTGCCAGATGTCCTGCCCATCTTAGTCTTCCTATTTTTATAAGAGATACTACGTCTTTACCACTGAATATATGCCACCGAATATTCTTCTCAGGATCCTTAGTTCAAATATAAGTAGAAGGTTTTCATCTGCCTTGGAAATGGTCCATGTCTCCGATCCATATGTCAACACTGGTTGTATAAGGGTTTTGTATATGGTTATTTCTGTTTTTTGGCTTAAGTTTCTGCTTCTCATATGTCTACTCAATCCAAAATAGCATTTGTTTGCTAGGATTATTCTTCGCTTGATTTCTTCCGTCATGACGTTCTCCTTGGTGATCAGGGTGCCTAAGTATGTGAATTTGTCCACCATTTTAAAGGTAGAGTTATCAACCGTGAATTGGTGGCCCATGTTTCTGGCTCTATTGTTGGGTGTTGATGCCATTATCTTAGTTTTCTCCTCATTTACTTACAGGCACATATTTTTGAGGCATTTGACAAGGTGGTATACGTTTCTTCTAGCTTGCGTGTTGTGCGGGTAACTAGGTCAACATTATCTACATATGCCAAAATGGGGGATAAAGGGGTAGAACGCGAATACATGGAGTTGATTCCAGTTTACTCTAACTAGCCTCTTCTACACAAATCCGACTCTCACCTTCACGCTGGTAACCCCTGTTAACCGAGCAACCTTCGGGGGCTCCGAAAAGGGGATTTGGCGTTGGGTTAACTACCCAACCCGGTAAAACTCCATAGTTACGAAATCGAAAGTCAAAATGCCGGACGGAAATCTCGACGACGACCTAAACATGGGAAACTTATCGTTTTCAATTTGAAGCTGCAACTACAGCAAATGGCTGGACTGATACAGACATGGCACCTTCCTTGGTAGTGTCGCTTCGAAAACAGGCAGCAACCGTCGTGCAATTTCTTTCACAAGATGCAACCAGTTATAACTCTCTCGTTGAAGCTTCAGAAACAAAATATGGCCAGCATCATGTAAAGCAGCTTTTCCAAAGTCAGCTAAAAGTTTGATATCAAAAACATAATGAAATGCAACAAGCTCTTCGATTACACCACAAAATGCTAGATAACTGTACTCAACGACTAACAAAAATATTCAATGACATTTATTTAAACAGAGTAATACCAAGACTATGGCTGAAGTCAACGTTTACTGCTCTACCAAAAAAAAAAAACAAAATCCGTATCCTGCAATAATTTCCGGACGATCAGCTTAATGAGCCACATTTTAAGTTATGTCTAAAAATCATACATCAGGGGATATATAGACTATGCGAAGAAAAAATCAGCCGTACACAGTTTGGTTTTAGAAATGAAGTTGATACGAGAGAGACTCTCTTTACATTATAAGTACTACTTCAACAATGTAGAGATGTGAGTTGCGATATTTATGCATGCTTCGTTGATTACCATAAAGTGTTCGATACAGTAAAACACTACAAGATGATGGAGATATTTAAAATATTGGAATAAATACCCGTGGTCTTAGAATTATAAGCAATCTTCACTGTAATCAAACATCGTCTAAACAGAAGCAGGGGAATCCGATGATATTAAAATCAAACGTGGGGTCCAATAGGGATGTATACTATCACCCTTTCTGTTCAACTTATTATACTCTGAAGAAATCTTTCAAGAAGCAGCAGAGGATGTTAAAGTCGGAATTGTGGTAGCGGGTAGATACTCTTGTACGATGTCGGTATGAGACAGATCTACTTCAGGTATGCAACCCTGCCCACGCGAGCCATGGCTCTCCCCCAACTCGTGCTGGGGGAAGTCATGTCCCACCCAGGGGACTGTTATGACAGTCCTATGAGATTTATTTCATATATAAAAACATCGAAAATAAAAACATCGAACAATACATACTTTCCTCATAAAGACCAACATAAATACACTTTTAACAATAATCGAGGCCAGCGATCAATGATAGATTTTATAATCACAAATCGAGCGATAACTCCGTCACAAGTACTTGATGTCAGAGCACTAACATCTGCTAACCTGGGGACTGATCATAACCTTGTTTTATGTAAGATGCTACTAGAACGTCCGCAACGAAACAGAAAACCCCCAATGTTCATCGAAAAACATAATATAGAGTCGCTAGCAACAGAGAGTACAAAACTGCTCTATGAGAACAGGATTACCAGCAAACTAAAAGAGATCGACTTAAAACCCGAATGGGGAGTAGAAGATACTTAGCAAAAAATTAAGAAATGCATCAACGAAGCAGCAGAAGAAGCGATTGGAAAGCGGAAAATTAACACGAGAGCGACAAATCACACCAAACCGTGGTTTTGCCAAGAGGTAAAAGCACTCTCTGAATTAAAACGCAAATGCTACCTGAGATATAAAAGCACGCAATCGGAAGAAGCTCATGCAAAATATGTCCAAATAAGAAACGAAGTAAACGCCAGAATAAAATCAATCAAAAGATAACATTGGGCCAAATTCACTTGCGACATGGACTACGACCTATACGGTGTCCAAAAGAAAGTATGGAAAATGCTCCGCAACAGGAAAAAATCAGTTAACGAGTTCGTGCAGACCAAAGGAGTACCTATAGAGACATGGCAACAGCATTTTAAAGAGCTATATGATGCTGAAGAAACGCTGAATATAAACGAAGGCGAAACAGATGTGAGTGCTACAATCAATGACGAAGAAGTAGAAGCAAAGATCAAAAAGCTAAAAAACAGAAAATCACCGGGAACGGATGGTATACCTAATGAACTTTTGAAATATAGAGGCCCGGAACTTGCAAGTAAACTGACACAACTATTTAACAAAATATTAAACAAAACAGAAACACCAGAGGAATGGCATAATACAACAATTGGCAACAATCCCCATATTTAAAAAAGGACAAAAAACCTGCCCACAAAACTATAGAGGAATAACCCTCTTAAATACAACAATAAAACTTTTCACGGGTATTCTTAAGGACAAATTGGAAAAGCAAATCACTAATGCTGAAGATTAACAAGGTTTTACAAAAGGGCGGTCTATAACAGACGCAGTATTTATAATAAAACAAATAAAAGAAAAAGCTATAGAGTTCGGCATGCCAGCGTATATGTGCTTCGATTTGATTTGATTGATTTGACGAAGGCATTTGACAGAGTTCGCCTGGGAGACATTCTAAATATATTAATAAAAAATGAAACACCGACCAGTATAACAAAGATACTCCATAACCTAAATAACAACAACGTAACCAAAGTTAGAGCAGGAGACGAATTCACTGAAAATATTCCAACACCGGGAGGAATTAGACAAGGAGACAGTTTAAGCCCCTTCTTGTTTAATCTTCTCATGAGCAAAATTGTCAACAAAGTAACATCTCTTAATCTCGGGTATAGAATGGGCAACAAAAGAATTGGTATGGTGTGTTACGCAGACGATGCAGCAATTATTGCCGAATCAGAAGATGATCTCCAAAGGCAGCTCTTTCAGTTCTTTCAAACAAGCCGACTATTAAATATGAACATCTCTACCAACAAAACTAAATGTATGACAATAGCAAAAGATCCGCTCAGATGTAAGTTAGTGGTTGAGGACAATCCCATAGAACAGGTGATGCAATTCAGATATCTGGGCATAGATATATCAAGCACCCACGACCCAGTAAAGGACCTGAGGGACCTGCGGGAGATAGTCTGGTCAAATCCGTATATGCGCACAGATAGTAAAATTAGAATCTATAAGACTTGCATACGACCGATCATGACATATGGCATAGAAGTGCGCGAAGATACCAACAAAACGAAACAGATGCTAAGGGTTGCCGAAATGAAAACCCTAAGAACAATAATGGGGAAAACAAGAAGAGACAGAGTGAGAAATATAAACATTAGAGAGCAGTGCCAAATTCAAGATATTGTAAGATGGGGAAGGCAGCGCAAGAGTATGTGGTACAACCATGTAAGACGAATGGATGAGAATAGACTCCCAAAAATTGCCCTAGAAAACAATCCGCCCGGTTCAAGACCCCCCGGAAGACCACCTAAAAGATGGAGGGATAGTTGGCAATCTACCTCCCAAGAAATTAACCAGAGGCAGCTTCAGAATTAAACAGATCGAAAGATCTACAAAAAGTAGAAGAAGAAGAAAATTTCTGACATTTCTAGTGACGTTTGAAACATCAGAAAAAATATATAAACATATGTTGTTGACAGTTAGGAACAGTTGTAATTGAGAGTTTGACGTTTATAATTATCATTGCATTAAAGTATTGTAAACAAGTTGGTGTTTAATAAAGTTATTTTTAAGAAATATAACAATATATAAAAGTACAGTGAGTGTGGATCAATATAAACTTTTGCAGTCGTAAATCTAGTGGTCATTTGCCAAAAAAAAACGGACATTCATGAATAAAAAATCAACTCAGCTCATTTACTTACTTCTTCAATGGCTAAATCATGTTCTTCATCATCTTCATTGTTAGCCAAGGCTTGTTCTAGTACCAATTCCCGTTTCTTCCTCGCTTGGTCAACATTTTCAAAAATGACTGCCGGTTTTGAGTAATGCCTGGCTTTCATATCGAACACGTGATCTTTTGGCTTATTCATGTACTTGTTATTTACTTTCTCTAATACCTTTGTTCCCTTTTCACCCATTTTGGTTAACCTTGACATGATATCATCCAAAGCTTCTTCAGATGACGTTTGGTTTTTTGGTTTATCTATTTTAAAATTTTTAGTTTCATCCAATGCAATGGTTGAGTTTCTATGTACGTGTTGTTGTTTCTGTTGGGGTAGTTTACTTTTAAAGTTTTTGCTTTTTTCTTGTAATGCTGGAAAATTAAAAAAATCTTTTTAATCAATTTCAATTTATTCTAAATTATGAAAAGAGATTATTATACTTGACCTTGCAAAGATCTTACAGTTATTTTACTGAACAATTGACATGCATGAGCGATCAAAATAACACTTACCTAGAAGAACAGCTCGCATATCTTTCCAATCCGTAACTTCTATGTTATCAATACTCTGCTCCAGTCTTTTACTGTAGTTCTGCTGCATAACACTGTGGAATTTAACTTCAGGCCTGTGTCGTTTCATTTCATCTGGATTATTTGCAGGTTGGTCTGCTTTCTTCTCGTCCGAATCGATAAATGCTTTCTCACGAATCGCCTCCATTTGTTCTTCAAGCTCTTCGGAAGAATTGTCTCCAATATAGGCGCATTCATGAAGGTGTTTGTGACCTCGGATCATAATAAGAGATGCTCCAGGCCACCTAAGATAATACTTTATTAATTATTTTTTCAGTCATGGCCCTACATGGTCTGCCGAGTTAATTTAAATACATGTACAATTATTCGTTCAATCAATTAAACATTTAATTTAAAAAATATAATACAAAAAGTAACATTACCCTGATAATTTACACTGCATTTTTGACGAATATCTAATCTCGATTTAATTTGAAAATTTAGCAATGAAAAAATGGAAAGTCAGTGTCTATATTTTCTCTAAGAACAATAGATATTCATGGTGCATTAATTTCCTTCGCAATTCAAAAAATGTAATTTTAAATAAAACTGATCATCAACAGGAATCTTCTAAATTTAAATAAGACCAAATCTTCATAAAAAAATGTGCTAATTATATTTTCCACAGAGTAGAATATCGAATAGTTTCGAAGTGGTAGACAACTTTATATATATAAAAATTTGATTCAGATTTGATAGCCAGCCATTGTATATCTTAGGAAGTATAGCAAAGAGAGCTAGATTTGGTGAGTCCTGTGGATGTTTCAATCAACTCATTAATCAATAATATTACTGATATATACAGGTGCATTGTAATGGTGACTTCAAGAGAGGTATATTAGTGATCATCAAAGCTTGACATAAATTCATCCTGAACTTTGTTAAATTTTTCCTGTCCAATTAATTGTTTTTAAAATAAACGTACAATTTTGCTGCAAATGGAACAGTAAACCTTGTCGGAATCCATATAAAGCTCCTTGTATGGCTTAATCCAATTAAGAGCGAAAAAATACAAAAGTTAAAAACCGATATACAGCGGTACGAAGATAGAACTGCAATTGAAAAACGATTTACAGAGTTTCATTTGTCAGAAAGAAAATTACCAAAAACATAACAATACCCGTTAAAAAGAATTCAACCGACAAGATGCCTCAACTAACAACCTCGTTCATCATCCTCACGATGAGGATGAATATGGGTGATATGTTTTAACGATGTAAAAACTGATTGTAATCGTACTGAATGGGCTCTAATGGATCATGATGTGGTGAAATATGGAGAGCTTTCAGTATTCTTCAAAAGGATACCAAAGTCAGGAGGAGCATTCTACAAGATCATGCTAATATCCCCATTTTGAATCACTAAAAGTGATTCAAAATGGTACAAAACTAATAATGAAGTCATCGGGCAATATGGTTCATCGATTATACTTTTGTGACGATAATATATTTTATCGTCTAGAGTACGCCTATGTGTTAAACAAAACACGTTTTTGTTCCGTCTCGAATAGTATAAAAGTCGAAACTGAAAGAAAGCTAACCAATTCTCGACGCGTTGAGTTGAGAATATCCGACCTTGGGGACAGGTGAGTTGAACTTGTTCCAAATCCTTTCCGAACCCAGTCGATCTGGCGCGTTGAGCGAGATTGACAATCCTTCCTCTGACCGCGTCAATCTGGTGCGTTGAACGAGATTGGCGTATTCTTTCCATCTAGTGTGTTGAACTAGATAGACATCCTTATCCCCGTCCGAGTACTCGTTCTGCGTTGAGGAACGAGTACGACCTCAATTCCTCGATCGCCATATCTTAGTTTATCATATCAAATATCGTCACACCCATCTACCGAAATAAATAAACAATACGTTCTTGTATTTAAGCATTATATTCAGTAAACACTTAACGTTAATTACTTTTTTTCATTTGTATATGTTAGTTCGGAATAAATGTCTATACGAACGAATCCTGTTTCTCTGGCTGAAAACCCGACGTCACACTTTTAACTATCTTATTAGTAATAAATGTATTTCTAACAATTAATATCATCATAACATTTTTTGTAAATCGCAAATGTGAATCATCTTGCATTAAAATAAATATATAAAAAAAGGAAAACAGTTTATTTCATAAAACTAAAATAATACGTTTAATCTTTTATTTAAAAAAGTCTAATTTACTTAGGTAATATTATATTTAAAAACCATTGGCGGAGGTGATCTACATTTTTCTCAGTGCAGGAAAATAATCCAGTGGCGTGACAAGGGTTGGCGTTATGAATAAAATTTCCAGTAACGCAAGGTGTACCATCAAACTTGCAAACATCAATAATGATAGGAAAAACTCCAAAATATGACATTTCTTTTGTAAAAATTCTGCTTTCTGTTCTCCGCGAACGTAAATGTAGTCAGTTGCATACAACAACTTAGATTCTAGTAATTCATTCATTTTGGAATATTCAACATCCCCATTAGAATACCGAAGACTATGAACGTTTTTTCCAAGCCCCCAGCAGTGCTCTTATCTTGAAGTAGCAATACTCAATGTAGTAAGCGGTTGTGGAGACAAAATAAAAATTGAAAACTGTAACGCCCTCTCGTGTAGACTAGCGTCACCATCAAGCTCAGCATGATCGTAAACTGTAATGTCAGCTACGTCACACTTTCTCTCCCGCACTCATTGATTTTCCATGCCGCCACACGTTCTCTCTCGCACTTATTGATTTCCCTATCCCGTACAGAATCCCCCTATATTAGCTACTATTGAGTAACTTTTTACAGACTTTAGTATGTAAATAAATATCATATGAGCCTATAATAACGAGACGTATGGACTATGTGGGTAGCAAATAAAAGAAATATAAATGATCAGAAAGCTTATTAACTCGTTAATAATATCTGGCATTATATTGCATTAGCACAATAATATTATCTTTGTTTAATTATCAAGAAATATATTTTCGACTATTTCCTCAAAAGTGATCTACATATTTTTATTTATTCTAGTGACACAGAATAATAAACAATCAGAATGCCCACTCTCCATGGAAAATTAAGCACGCGTATCTCCGCGTAGACGTTCCGCCATGTTTTAGAGGGAAGCAGTGTTGTTTATGTGGTGTGCTTGGAAAAATTAACCCGGTTTAATTGACTTACGGCAATCATAGACATACTATTATATTAACATTGTTAAATATAATAACATAAATATAATATAATTAAACATAAATATAAACAATTACATAACCTCACAAATCATATGTCTGTGTTATGTGTTTCCTTCTAAAACATGGCGCGCGTGCTGAAAAACTTCAAAGGCGGCATCTGAGAGTGGGCATTCTGAATGTTTATTATTCTGTGCTAGTGATCTATATTGTAAAAATAATAACCTTACACATGTTGAGACGGTCACTGAAGTCCCTTTCAATAAATAAAACCCCCAATACTCTTTGGTGTCATCTTCTAGGGAGAGTTCTCGTACCATAGACATTGGCTTTTTATCTGTCGACATTTCGGGAGTTTTCGACAATAAAAAAGCATTGAACGTGGCATTGACACTAACTCTTTGCTTCTAGAATATTAAAAAAATAATAGTTTTATATTGTAGAGGAACCTATGCACATATTAATGGCGTATATTAGTATTTACATTTATAAAATAAATTCATTTGTGTATTTATATATTTAAACTACAGATACACGCTTTAATTACTGTGTCAATATTTTTAGTTAAAATTTTAATTTACATTATTTAACAAATAATAAGGAGTTTTTTAGTTTTTTAAGTAAAAATATAAAGTATTATGTAAAAAAAGAAAAAGTCATTGGGTAAATAACAAAATATAAACTAAAAAATCTTCATCAAGCAGACTACAAATCATCCTGCTGAAATAATTTCGAAATCGCTGGAATTGACATGAGTTTATACATTTAATTGTACAGTATTCGATGTGTGACATGTGATTCTGTAAAAATGCTTATGGGTGGTCCGTTTGCATATAAATTTGTTGTGCAAACAAAGTTTTACAGTCAAAGCTCTCGATAACTCAAAACTACATAACATTTAGTGTAAAATCCCACTACAGGATCACTACGTTCATATAGTAGTTAATCAAACTTACATTTTATATACATTTAAAATTAGGAGAATACATTGATAATAGGGTTCCAGTCAAAAAGTCACCGCACATATTTTTATTGCAATTAATAGTAATTAATTTTTAATCAAAAATTTTATTTTGTTCATTTATTTTTTAAATTAAATCCACGTCCATGATGTATATGCATGTTTTTTATATGAAATTTAAGCTACTTTTTTCTTAATATGATGATATAAGATAGTCTGAGAAAAAATGGGCGCAAATTAGGGTTGCCTGCTGTTAAAAACGCGAGGTATTAAAGATAAAATAAAGAGATAAAAGGAGAAGAAAAAGAGAAATATAAGATAAATTCTTTTAAATTACTTCATTTAAGTATTATTCACGCCTAATCCCTTTTAAAATATTATTGGTTTTTAGTTCAAGCGTGATCATTTTCTCATGGGAACAGATTTTTCAAACCTAACTACACATCCCCTTCCCAAAAATTAATAAGCTTAGGCCTAATTTATAAAAAGCCACTATCCGATTTTAGTTCTCAGTTGCCAGTTACTATTTGTATCAATATGCATTTAGAGGTGTATATTTGTAGTTTAGTAACGATCGAGAAACTCACAATTTTGTGGAAACTCATTCATTGTTCGTTTTAAATAGTTGCGATTTCAAGAGATTCTTTTTTGTATATTTATAGAGTCCGACTGACAATTATTTTCTGCCGCTAGCATTCACAGACAAACGCCTTTTGTCAATGTTGAGGGTCTTTATCAATATTTTTGCCAAAGACGCAAACATATCGTTTTACTACATTTAGAGAACCACCTGTTTTCAGAGAACACATATACATAAAGTACAAATGAGTAGTGTTTAGTCCTACAACCCATCCTGCAAGGACTATTATTTGAAAAGCGAGGTCCAGGAAAAAGTAGAACATCGTGTGTAGCTTTTCTGTGCTGTTGAGAATAAGATAAAGATTGCCATGATGATGGTCAACATTCGTCATGGAAAGATCCAAATGAAAATCTAACTGAAACAGGTTTAATGCTCCGAGATAAAAACCTGAGATGTAACGTTTCGTTTCTTTTTACACACCATTCGGTTTTCCTAGTTTGTAACGATTGCTAATCTGTACCGAAGAAATTTACACTTAAAACCAAAAGACCTGACAGTTTATTATGCAAGGCAGAGGTTGTGGAATGTGAAACAGGAAGACGAAAAATATTCTGGCTTGGGAACCTCCGAGCAATAGTTCGGATGCATCAGCACAAAACTTCTTAGAGCAACGCGGTTAACCGCAAAGTTTGTAGAACAATATTTTTCCGCCTTTTTAAATAACAATATAAACTGGATTCAAGAATAATGTAGAAGAATGAAGATGAATAAACTCATACATAAAATAATTCAAAGAACATCACAAGAAACTTCAGGTTCTTAAACTTAGTCTACTTTTAGATTGGAAACGGTATGAAAATAATAAATGATAAAAGATAATGGAGATTGTACATCTTTTTTATACATCAAATGTCATGTGAACTCCAACTCACAATCCCAAACCAGCACTGCTGTGTTGCCTGACAAAGTTTTGCAAAATCAATATAAAAAAAGAGAGACGTGAATCCACAAACAAATAACTCAAGAGTATTTAAAGCCATCTAACTTAAAAATAACTAACGATTACTTACCTGGCACCAAGTTGTAGAAACTTTGTTATCGATCAATCTCATATCTGACATTGCAAGAGGATACATTTGATGACTGTATACCCGATACCTCAGATACAAGGGAATTGTTATTAATAAACATGGTACCAGTATTCCCAGAACAAACAGTTTTATCACTTTTACTGGAAGTATCCATGGGTTCGTGGAGATGCTTCTTTGGTAGAGACTAGAATTTTGTAACACTGGAAATTCTAAAAAATGAAGCAGATATTAATACAAATAGCAAGAGTCATTTGGGCTTACTTATAACTAAGTAATACAATAATATTTAAAAGTATAGACTTTTATGGTTGGTGTCGGGTAAAGTTGCATTGTTTTTCAAATTTATAAGCACTAAATTTTAATTAGATTTTTCTTGCCTTTAACATATGGCTAGACGATTATTTTTTGCTTTTTTGGGATGATGCTTGATTTTAGGTGTCGAATATTACTAGAATTCTGGTTGTGCCATGCACAGGGATATTTCTTTAGTTTTTCTGATTATTGTGCTAACATTATGTCTCTAACCGCATAAAAAGACATTTCAAAAGCTTTCAAATGTTTCAAAAATCTTACTCTAAGTGATGTGGTCACTTTAAGACCTGAATTTTAAGGTTTAAAGGAACTTAAGTTGGAGATGTCATAGTTTTGTTCTCGGAAAACCTCAAGGAGATATGTACAATGCTACATGAACTTTAGTTAGTGTGTGCCAGTGTGGGTCTTAAAATAAACATCTTCAAAACAAAATTCATGACAAACCTAGTACCTAGCGGAAACAAAATATGTAGACAGTTGCTTTTGGATCTAATTCGAGTCTCTTACCATTCTCTTACGCGTGTTTCTGGGTCTACTCGTCATCAGAGAGACTTGTAAGAAGACTAAAATCAAAACCAAACGCACCGGCAAGTATAGTAATTATAAGATATAATTACCACAGTATGCTTTTAGCGACCCCTAACGCGAGAAGATGAAGTGAATGTCGATAGTGATAAGCAAACTGTATACCCAAGTAAAATGAAAAAGACAGCAAATATTTGATTTCACGCAAACAGCGCCTTTGTATCTGTTGATACGTATTTCGACCTAATAGGTCTCATCAGAACAGTTATTCAAAGGTTTTCTCAACGTGAAAGATAAATATTTTCTGTCTTTTAAGAAGCAACACTAAAATAGCTTTGATATGGACGCAATAGCGACATCTGATAATAAAACCGTAAAATAGTTTCGAAACAAAATTCAGATTTCTGCTTTTATCTGTGCTTTCTAAAAATTGCAAAGCAAAACAGACGTTGATGAAGGTGTTAAAAAGACATGGGAAATCAACCATCTAACGTTAGTCTCAAAAACTTCACAGATGGAAGCCCCCCAGGTAAAATAAAAAGATATAGACATGGAATTGAGGAGAGGTTTGGAGGAGAAGCATGCCTTGGACCGAGAGGATTGGCGGATCATTATCTTAACTCACTGAAAACTGCAACAATAAAAAATATTATTGTCAATATTTGGAGTGTTGCGATAATTTTAAACAGGAGTATACAAAAAATACTTTTAATTTAATACTTTGCAAAGCTACTCACCTACATCCATGATACCAATAAATTAAAAAAATAAAACACTAAATGTTTAAATAAATGCGTGTGAAAATGTTTATAAACACTTCCCCACAAGCAAAAACAATCTCACAATATTTCTATACAATCAACAATCTTATTTTAATATTGACATGGAAAATAAAGTTGATCACTGGCGACTTTTCTAGAAGAAATAAAAATTTTATCTAGGATTATCATAATACTGCAACTGTGCTCACTTGGGGTTGCGTCAGGGACACTGCGCGTGACCTTTGCGATAATTGTAATTTGTTTTAGAATCGAATCGAATGTTTACTAAAGATAGAAAAATGTTTACTATCGAAAAGTGTACGCAGACTAATTTGCTTACCATAAATGCTTTCTTCTCGCATAGCGTGTGCAATCGTCTAATTGGATGATATGGGTTAAAAACCTCAGTTGACCTGTAATTGTAAAATAAAAATATTATTAATTACATGATACTGTATCAGCTTTCTGGGGTGTTATGATGGAAAAATATTGTGGGACACTACATTAGTTGATGCTGGCTTTTATTTCCTGAATGAGCAGTTTCTAACCAGTCATTCTAAACTTATTACCAAAACTTATAATATTACAGATGGTTTCGAAATGTTCTTTATATTTTGGTTAATAAAAAGTTAAGCCCACATTTTAAAACTCACGCATAGTGAAATTATTATTTGTAGTGATATTTTCAAGTTTTTTATGCAAAAAATTGCTCCACACCTAACTCTAAACAAATATTAACTGGACTATAGTTCATTTCTCTAATTTTATATCCATGTAGAAAGAACAATTTTTGTTTATTTCTCCTTTCCTCTGTTTTTTTTTTAATTTGTGAACAGTTCATATCGAAGAAGCGTATCCATTGGTCTTTCCTTCTTCTTCTTCTTCTTCTTTTTATGTAGACATGACAATGTTTTTCAATGTGCCTCCAGTAAGTTGTCATTACATCGTGTTCGTGGTCTTCCAACTGATCGTCTTTCTATTGGGGAACCGGTCTTGAAATCTTTATCACTCTATTTGCTGTCATTCGGCTTATATGATCGTTCCATTCTACGTCATAGTTCATAGTGTCTTGCATGATCTTCCCGACCTAAAACCTTGTTGTTCTTCTGCTAGTACAGTAAAACCTCGATATAACGGACCTCTATTTAACAGACAAAAAATCTGGTCAAATGAAAAAAAAAATAATAATAACGTACTCTTAATTACGATATAATAACGAGTAGGTTTATATGATTATATGGGTAATTACCACACCGGTTACTCACCACTCTACAGCAGTTCTAGTTTATTCGTTGTGATCAATATGGCATAAAAAAGTAAACTGTTTAGGACATAAAAAAACAAGAGCAAAATAAATAAATTTGCATTAATGTGTGATGAAGAAGAGAACAACAATCTCAGAAAACAAATGAAATTGGCTCCTGAAACTTTACTGGAACAAGCAATCTTAAAATGGTACGACCTACAATGTTCCAGTGGGGTGCCGGTCCGGGCAGTAGAATTGAAATCTGCTGAAATTAAATTAGCAAATCATATGGACATACCATTCAGAGTAAGTGATGGATGTCTCTGGCGCTTTCGCAAAAGACACGGAATCATTAATAAAAGAATTTAGAAGATTCACGTGCAACGAAAGAAGAAATGGGACTTTTTAGGCAAAAATTAGTGGAACATTTCTTCTTCTCTGAGTAAGATGTGCCCAATTTTTTAGACGTGGGTAGCTTCCATGACCATTTGCCGATCTCGTTCTCGATCTTGCATATACATACATATTACATATATATGTAATAATTCATATGTTGATAAGCCAGTCCATTGACGAACACGATAGTGGAACATATCAGTAACGAAATGCTATTAGAATCTCAGATTTATAATACTGTCAAAACCGGTTTGTTATGGCGTCTTCTTCTTCTTCTTCGTCTAGCCATTCACGTCCACATTTGAACATAAGCCTCTTCAAGTCTTCCTTTCCATTGGTTTTTATTGTACGCTACTTGTAGCCAATTTTTCCCGGCAGTCCTTTTCAGATCATCTGTCCATCTCATAGGAGGTCTGCCTCTGGGTCTTTTGTGTTGGTATGGTCTCCAAGTTAAAATTGATCTGTGCCATTTGTTTAGATCGCTCCTAGCTACATGTCCAGCGTATTCCCATTTCAGCTTTAATGCTTTTTGCACCACATCGGTGACTTTGGTTTTCTGTCTTATCCATGTGTTTGTTTTCTTGTCCTTAAGTGATATACCTAGCAGTGCTCTTTCCATCGCGTGTTGAGTGACTCTAAGTATATTTATATTCTTTTTTGTGATTGTCCATGTTTGTGCCGCATAAGTTAATATCGGAATAATGCATGCATCAAAAACTTTAGATCTAAGATGTAATTGAATTTGTTGATTTCTGAGTATATAGTTCAGTTTATCGAATGCTGCCCAAGCTAACTTTCTTCTTCTTTTTATTTCTTCAGTCTGAATTTCCCTATTTAGGATTATTTTTTGTCCCAAGTATATATATTCTTCAACTTTTTCTATAACTTTATCGTTTATTATTGTCACGGTGTCTTCGGAGTGCATGACTTTTGTTTTGTTTAAATTCATTTTCAGTCCTATTTTAGAAGATTCGGTATGAAGTTCTACAAGCATAGTTTGCATTTCTTGTAGGTCAGTAGCTATCAGGATTATGTCATCTGCAAATCGTAGATTACTGAGGTAGCGGCCATTGATGTTTATTCCCTTATATTTCCAATTTAGGTTTTTAAAAACGTCCTCCAAAACTAAGGTGAACAGTTTGGGTGATAAATTATCTCCCTGTTTGACTCCCCTGTTTAATGGTACAGGGTTCGTGTGTTCATTTTCATTTAGGTAGTATGTAGCTGTAGCTTGGTTCATAGTTTCTTTTATTAAGTTAATATATCTGCTGTCTATTCTACAATTTTGCATTGCGTGTTATGGCGTACTTTACCTGAAAGCACATAAGCCTCCAAATATGAAAAATACAATTCTAGAAGAAAAATCGGCAAAGACAGGGTATCGGCACTGTTTTGTGCTAACGCCGATGGATCGCATAGATTGACTCCTGTAATGGTTGGCAAATCTCGTAAACCTAGAGTTTTAAAAGATATAATGCATCATCCGCCCGTTTCAATATTATAGCTCCAAGACGTGGAAGATGGTTCACCTCATTTTTGACAAAAAAATACAACATCGCTTATTCAACCCATGGATCAGTGTATACTTTTAGCAACCAAACGAATACATCGCAGAATTTTTTGGAGGAAGTAATGGTTGTATTGCACGATGGAGATATTGCAGAAGGGCAGCGGACCTTGCAAAACTTAAGGTCTTACAATTTAAAATCAACAATTTTTAATTTTGCTGCAGCATGGGAGGAAGTGAAAGAGAAAACTTTAAAAACATGGTTGGAAGAATTTGTTTTGAAAAAGACACAGATTTAGAAGGTCTGGAAGTTACTGATTTCTGTAGGACAATACATAATAATTCCGAAAAACATGTAGCTGAGGTGACTCTGGGTATAATATCATGATTGGAAGTGAAATAGCAGATGCAGGTATGAACCTAAAAAATGAGGATGTAAGTAAAGATAGCGAAAAAGACGACAAAACAACACTGCCAAAAATGAAGTTATCAGAAGTAAGATCGCATCTCGACGATCTTGTAATATTTATTGATTATGCATCAGATAACGAAGTTCAACTGTATTTTACGCATTTTCGTAATTTTAGAAAGTTGATCATAAAAAACAGCCATTATCGAAAGTGCAAACGAAACTTCCTTTTCAAAAGGTAATTTTCAAAACAGCATTACCGACAGCAAGCGCGTCGATATCAACAGCAACGTCACTTCACGACGAACGTCCGAAAACAATTAAATATAATTTTGTTTGTATTTTGTATTTTTTATATAATATATCTAAATACGCTACATACATATTTAAAAAAAGTTTTTGTTTATAACGGACTTTCGGCTTTAATGGACACCCTGTCTCAGCAAGTAGTCCGTTGTATCGAGGTTTTACTGTATTATAATTTCATTAATTCAGGGCTTCCCAAACTGTGCGTCGCGACGCCCTGGGGCGTCACTGCGTTGTCCCAGGGGAGTCGCGTGTCAGCGCGGACTTTTAATAAAGAAAATATATTTATTTGATTTTAAATGAGTACAAAATATTTGTGTTAATAAATAAATCAAATAAAAAATATAACATAAGTCGATAGAACTTTGAATTATCCGAAATTATTCAAAAAATTGTTCAATCCGGTCTTAGTCAAGTGTTCAGCATTCTGTTTAGCCGGTCGGCTCCACTCCCCCGTGTTCAATACTGTCGCTCGTATTATGTTCTTTAGCCAAGTTCTTGATTTGTTTTATTACGCACGCAGTGTTTTTTGCTATCAACAACGGATACTTATATTCAAAAAATAGAAAACGAAGTGAAGAATCAGGCGGGATCAGTAATGTTAATTTAAGTAAAAAAAAAGAAATATAGGAAATATGTCAACCAATATTTGAATTTTTAATTTACCTGCGTTACTAAAGGGAATGTAGAACTTCCACAATGTGTTGTTTGTCACAAAGTATTGGCGGCTGAAAGTATGCTTCCTAATAAATTAAATCAAAATTTGTAATCAACTCATAGTCATTTTTTAAGAGTATCAATTTCTACCAAAGCATTGTTCGTCACTTACATGGGAGCTTACCGTGTTACCAAATATAAAAAACCACATACGATCGCTGAGGAACTGATCTTACCTGCAGCGGTTGATATGTTCACAGTGATGATTGGATCGGCAGCTAAAGAAATAAAAAATGTACCTCTTTCAAAAAATACGGTTAGTCGCCGTTTCCACGACATGGCAGAAGATATTAATGGGCAAATTGTGGGGAAACTTTTAGGTTTATTGGTTTATAAAATTATGGGTTTCAGAAGAAGTTACTCTTATGGACGAGAAAATTAGAAGATCAAGAAACTGACTGTTTTCTGCTTTATAAGGTATTCTACAAGAAAAGTCGATAGAAATCCTTGATCCCTCTTTAAAAAATATGTTTACACAACACATGTGATCATTGAGCGAACACTTGAGAAATATTTTCCCGAAGATATGGAGCAATATGACTGGATCAGAAACCCTTTCCTGTTATCTACGCCATCGACACTCTCAACAGAGGAAGAAGAACAACTGACAGAATTGTCCTGTGATTCCAGCCTAAAGCTTATATAAGACAAGGACCAACTGTTTAAATTTTGGAGCTCACTTTCTCATGAATATCATGCCATCAGCAGTGCTTGATTAAAGGTTTTATTACCATTTGCGACTTCGTACTTATACGAAACGGGCTTTTCTGCAGTTGTAATAATTAAGAACAAGTACAGGTCAAACATAAACTTGGAAAAAGAAGTGAGAGTGGCAATTTCCAAACTGGAGCCCCGGTTTCATAAACTAAGCTCAAAAAAGCAAACACATCCCTCACATTAACCAGCCAGTTACATAAATAAATATCCCTTTTCACTTTTGTGCCTATGTTTTGATTTCGTTCTTAATTTCTAATAAACAATATAAATGTTCAAATGGTGATTTTGTTATAACTATAACCTGTTACTAGGCTAGTACTAAAATTGGTAACTATTGTATTATTGGGGGTTGGGTTGAGGGGGCGTCGCAAAAAAATAGCAAAGTCCCAAAGGCTTCACAGTACGAATAAGTTTGGGATGCCCTGATTTAGTTTATTTGTTATCACTTCGGTTGTTAAGTTTAGTATTGTGTTTAATAAATTAATTCTTTGTAATTTTCCGGGTCTGATTTGTCTCCCTTTTTGAAGAGAGGGGTATTAGGATGTTTGATCTCTATTCTTGAGGAATTCTGTTTTGTTCTATTATTTTTTAGATTTCTCCATTTGTCATCACCTCTGGTGTTGGTGATTTACTATCGTCACCTTTAGCAAATTGGGATCAAAAATATTCTACCCATGTTTCCTTCTGAATATGTTTCGTTTTTATTAGTTCGTTCATCTCTTTTCTTTGTCCTCTGATATTTCTGCATATTTCTTTTTATGTTCCGTAGAAGTCGTGTTGCATCTGTTTTGAGAAACTGTGTCAGTGTTCCCTTTTTAATTGTCTAACTAAAGTATTCGTTTCATTTCTTATTTTTTTATAGTGGTTATATGCCTGTTGTGTTTGTTGTGTTCTGTATTGTAAAATGTCTTTCTTCTTTTCTGCACATTTTGTCTTCATTACATTCTAAACCATGGTGTTTTTTTGTTTGATATGTTATTGTTCGTTACTTTCCTCTTTGAAAGTAATACTGTTCTGGTATTACTTAAAAATAACATGAACGATAACTTAGCAACCAGAAAACCCAATTTTTTGCCATGATAATGCCATAGCTGATACCATAGCTATATAGTCGGTATCAAGTCCCTTTGTAACTCAAGTTACCATTTCTCGCTGGCCAGATAGTTCTTCTAATCTCCTATCAATTGAAGATTTATGTAACGTGTAGAATATTGGATCAAGTTCCTGGCTTAATGAAATTGCGTCGCCAAACAAATGAAGAACAAGATTCTTGGTAATTTCAAGGAGCGATGAGGAATGTATTAAGTTAAATAGACTTATTAAAACTTTCAGTCAAATACTAAAATAATTATTTTCAAACTAATTATTTAAAGTAATACATAAGTAGTTATCAAAAATACTACATCAAATTATTTTGGTGTTTAATGAGTCGTGTTTTCAGTATATATCGTGTTAGTATGTTATATAAACAAAATACAAGATTATAGCTTTAAAAATTACATGACACATAATAATTAAATACAAAACAAACCTTGATATTAAGCGAGGAAGCTATAGATGTCTGTTTTTGCTTGTCACTTTACTTTTTTGGGGTTTAGAGATACTACGACAGTGATTATTTTTTTTAAGTAGATATACGTATCTATTACAATACTTTGGGGAATCAAAATATACACTTATGCAATTTAGATATGAAACAACACTAAAATACATTTAACTTATCTCCACTAAATATATGGTTAACCTTTGATTTGTTTGTATAAATACTTTGAATGATAGGGGCTTAATGTTACTAAAACCAAATTTTCCGTGATATTTTTCAATTGTATTAATAAGTAGTAAAAACATATAGAGTAGAAATAAATATGCAAGTGGAAAGAACTACATAGGGTGTGCACATTCAATGGAAATAGGAGCCTATTAGAAAACGAATAACTACTTGGATCACATTATTGTACAAATTGCCGATAGATATATAATGACTCTAATTTCCTTCTCAGTAATACTACTTGCGAGCTCCAACCAATGGACAAAGCTGGATTTAGAGCCTTTGAATATTACTGAGATGATAAAGTTATGAAATAATATTATATCCATAGAGATCGTGTTATTACCAGATATTTTGGGTAATTTTTTCCACGGTTTTGGGACAAAACAATGACACCATCCAATATAAAATCGGAGTTCTCGTTAACAGATTGTTATATTCTCGAACGTGCTAGGTGCTATATGAAATAGCTTTTTAGATTCACACTTACATATTGGGGTGATATGAAGATACTGTTGTCGTTTATAGCTTTTTTGGTATTTTTGTCTGCTGCTTCGTTACCTGCTATTCCAACATGTGATGGGATCCAGAGAAACTTGATGCTTGTATCTTTAGTATGCAATGTATTTAGTTCTTCCTTTGTTAGTAAAGCTAATGGATGCTGCTTGTATATTTTCCTGATTATTTTTAGTGATGATATAGAGTCTGTCACGATTAATATTTTGTTCATCTTATTTGCATTTGCGTGTAGTATCGCTTGGTAAATGAATTAGAGTTCTTCTGTTAATATAGTTGCAGTATCTGGAATTTTATGTTTGATAATTCCTGTACTATTAATTATTACCACTCCGACTCTATTTTCAGTTTTAGACGTCTGTATACTGTATACTATACTGTGTAATCGTAATCGGAGTTAATGAAGATGAAGATACGAAGATAAGATTGATACATTCTTATGCCCTGATAATGAAAAATAAGAATATTTAACATTTAATATAACTGTTAAAAATTCTGAAACTATTTTATTGTATGTATTAGGTGTTAAGATTCATAGTTAGGGGAGAGTGGGGCTGCTTCAGATATAAAATATGAAATGTCATATCACTCTAAATACCTCACCAAATAAAGAAAGTAAACATTCATAAAATACATTATTCACCCAACTTTCACTGTATATATTATTAAATCCTATACTTGTAAAAAAAAACAAAACCACTTTTTTAAAAATGCAAACGGGGAATAGGGCAGCTTCAGACGCAATTGTAAATGTTTTAGAAATTATTTATTACAATATTTAAAACTACATTATGATACTTAATCAAACCCCTAATGCATATTGAAGTTTTCCAATGAAACTGAAAAAGACAATAATGATTTCTGTTGCTTTTTACCCTGCTCAGAAGGAGTTGGCAAAAGGCTACAATTTCTGATAAAGAAGCACTAGAGATATCTGGTACGATGAAGTCGAAAAATTTATAATTTACTTCAGATGACATTCTCAAAAATTAAATTTCAACATCCCCATCAACATTTAACAATGATTCTCCCAACATAGTAAATATCTTATTGTTTTACAGTCCCAAATTTAACCAGCACAAAACCTTCAATTTTCGATTCACTCCTGTCAAAATTTTGCTGTGGTTCTTCTAATACTTTATCATCAGAGTTTTTGCCATTTTCATCATCAGTTGTCTTCTCATTCTTCTCATTTTCAAAAAGTAGTTTTCTTTTCGTAGATTTACTACGTTTAGCATAAGAGTTGGTGGTTTTCTTTGTTTTTTTATTGATCTGTTTTTCTGTCAGAAGAAGCTATTCTGGGGTGTCAGTTATTACTCAGCTTTTCCCCTTTTCTCTTGGTTTCTTGGAAACCAAGAGTTATTAAGTTTCGATTTTGGACATCCTCGTATCTCCTCAGAACTTAAATAACAGCCAGGCTGTTGAGATGTAGTACTTGATGTTGATGGAGTATCTATTGGTTACTGAAAGTTTTCGCTTGAAATTTGGGGATATGAGGGTGATTTTTCTGATTCTAAAGTTGGTAGCTTGCAGCTAGTTGGCATGTGGTGCATCCGGAAGAGTTTTGTCTGTAGGATTAGGTATCTCATTGGCCAAACTTGGAACAAACATATCGTCGATGAAAATGTGCCTGTCAATTTGGAAATATACCTATTTTTTTAAAGGAATTTATAATGCTCTGTGGTAACATGGCACGGCCATATTCTATTCCAACACATGCGGCCCCGTGATAGATTCCAAAACGTTAGCCTGGGTTAGACTTCAACCATGAATCAATTGCAGCATTATAATATGTTTTAAAGTGTTTCATCGATCCCACATCCAGTCGTTGCATCATGTGGGTACAATGGGGTGCAATTGTTAGAATGTACATGCCATTAGCTCTTGCTAGTTCTATTGCCTCAATTGACAAGTGGCTCTTATAACTGCCGCAAATTAGAAGCATTTTTTTCTCTTTTCAGAGGAACCTGAATATTTTCTAAAGTGCTGCATCACATGAACGAAATTGGAAGTGTTCATCCAACCTGACTGATGAGTCAAACCCAAGATTTCGTTTGGTGCTCCATTTATCATGTGGCTCTTGAAGTGCACTCTCGGAAATACTAGAGCAGTAGGTATTGTATTTCCAGCTGCATTTATAAACAAAACTGTAGTAACCAGAGTTCCCCACTCACCACAGCAGCTGCTACTTGTTTTTGTCATTTTTTGTGAAATCACACGAGAAGGTTCTTGGTTAGTTTCAGTTTTTGTTTCATCTATATTGCAAATCCTGGATGAGTCAGAGAATTCTGGGTATCTTTTGATTAATTTTTTATAATTATTAAAAAAAGCATTCACATTATGTTGCACGGAGAGATAATCTTGGGTGGGGTTTCATAAAACCCGTGCTTTCCTGTCATTCTTGAAGCTTCCCATTTTTTAGGACAGTCAATATTGTTCATTTTGGCCATCTCATGTGCTAGTTTTCGAGTTTCTAGATTGTTAAGACCATAAAACATTTTTGAACACTTAATGTAATATACCTAAAGGTCGTCTTCCAGTTTGTCAAGTCTGTCAGTAAAAACCTTTCTAGTATCGTTTCTTGATTTCATATCATGTCCGTCATCTGGGTTACCCCTAAACTTCTTAACGTAAATACCAACAGTTTGATATTTTATTCCAAATCTTTTAGCAGAATTTCCTATTGATTCACCATCTAGGATATCCGCTACACATTCTTTCATAGATTCTGCATCCAACTTTCCTTTTGTTTTTTCTTTCTTCCTATTTCTTATCATCTTCAGACAATCTACGACAAAGAGAAACCCTTTTTAAATAACTAATATATATAAATTTTAAATATGTTATTTCAAAAAAGATGTGTCTATTTCCCATTCTATTTGTCTGATAGTTCCCCATACCCTTTTGTCTGAAGGTGCCCCATACCCTTTTGTCTGAAGGTGCCCCACTGGATGTGTCCAGGCTAAATGTAAAAATATAACCTAAGAGTGATATCAGTAACAAATGTGAATAGTACAGATTATACAGAAATAAATGGACTTAAAACTTTTAGCTATGTTAATTATCCTAAGTCTTGTCTTCTAATAAAAAACTCATCTTACCTTCAATCCAAAAATTTGACTTTTAACCACCCAAAACTAACTTTTCACTTTATGACATGAACCCTTTACTAAACTGTTCTACAGACTGAACAGACTGAACTACTATAGTGTGAGTAGTGATGGAATGTTTTGATGTCAGTGTTGCCAACTTGAGTCCTTAAATTTACCCACCATATCAATTTCTGAAGCTGCCCCCTGTCTGAAGGAGCCACCTTCTCCCCTACTTAGGTATAATAATTCACTTACTTTAGAGTGGCCATATTGCCGACACCATGTTGGTAATATGGCCAATAGCAGTATTTTTTAGCTTTTGCAAGATTTCGTAGACTAAAAGAGTACTTCTTTGTCCTATCTTCCGCTGCATACCCAAATAGTTGTGTTTGTAGTTTAACTGATCAGCGTTGATTACAAGCGTTTATCGTTTTTTCAGTATATGTATATATATATATATATATATATATATATATATATATATATATATATATATATATATTGTCAAAACAATTCAATCCTACCAGAAAGAAAAAATACCGTTATATTTGGTCATAAACAAAATAAAAAAACGCTTATAAAATGCCCTTACCAACACTAAGAACTAATTAAAAATAATTTGTTGCACCCAAGCGGGATCAGCTCGACAATTATTTGATTCCTAATTACATGAGTTAAACGTGAAAAACGTAATTAAAGAAAATACTCAAATGACAGAAGACCCCGTTGTAAGAAGACAAATTAAAAAGTTCTTAATTGAACATTCTTTCTGTAGCAAGAGAGAAGTTAGCGAGGGTGAAAACGTGGAAAAGCGGAAAAATACGGCAATTAAACTCAATTAATCACTCGGAAAATCCGTAGTTTACTCACGAGCCCCAGCGAATAGACCCTTCAAGTTTTATTGGCGACTTTTTCGGGCGAAAATAAAGCTAGCGGTGTTCTTTTTTCCATCAAAGCATTGGATCTTGTTACAAAGTAGACTCGGTATCTACGTAGATTTTATTAGCAGCTCCAGCGTTTAGAAATAATTTTGTGTTACCTTAATCAAGTAAAGTTGGTAATTATCAGCTACAACAAGAAACATTAGTTTTTATTTATTTAGTTTCTTATTCTCTGTTAAATATTAGTTTTGTTATTTATATTATTGTATAAAATATTAGCGATTTAAAGAGAGAATATCCAATTTAAAAAAAGAGGTCGGGAACAGGAGAGAAAAAATCGACATTACTAACTAAAAGTTCCGACATCGCAAATGTATACAGACAGTAAATAGAAGATCAAAATAATTAGAGAAAACTTAGAAGAAGAAGACATT